ATACTTCAGGCTGTAATTGACTGCAAAGGATTTGCAACCAAGTATTAAAAAAGTAAAAGTTTGATTTATCATCATTATTCTGTCCCATTACTTTTGGTCCCTTAACAAGTGGGAGGCACATATGCAAACTGTTGTAATTCCTACACCGCTCATTTGACCTCTTTCTGATAATATAAGAATGGTTATTTTTCTGCATGGGGATTATGAGTGGATGATTGTGAACACACATGCCAAGGACCATATTTGACCTACAGTCAGGACCATAAATATTGGGACATTGACACAATTCTAACATTTTTGGCTCTATATACACACCACCACAATGGATTTGAAATGAAACGAACAAGATGTGCTTTAACTGCAGACTGTCAGCTTTAATTTGAGGGTATTTACATCCAAATCATGGAGGTAAATACCCTCAAATTAAAGCTGAAAGTCTGCAGTTAAAGCACACTTGTTCGTTTCATTTCAAATCCATTGTGGTGGTGTATAGAGCCAAAAATGTTAGAATTGTGTCAATGTCCCAATATTTATGGTCCTGACTGTAGGTCAAATATGGTCCTTGGCATGTGTGTTCACAATCATCCACTCATAATCCCCATGCAGAAAAATAACCATTCTTATATTATCAGAAAGAGGTCAAATGTGTTTTCCTAGGCATGTTTAACCATGGTAATTCACCCATAATCTCCATGTAAAAAAAATAACTATACACATAATCATTTCAGAAATAGGTAAATATGATCCTCGGCATGTATATCCACAATAACCCACCCATAATCCAATGTAGAAAAATAGCTATTTTCATATTATCAGAAAGGGGTCAAATGTGTTCCTAGGCATGTTTAACCATGAAATCCAACCCATAATCCCCATGTAGAAAAATAATTATACCCATAATCTTTTCAGAAATAGATGAAATATGATGCTTAGCATGTGTATCCACAAAAATGCTCCCATAATCCCCATGTAGGAAAATACATATATGCATTTGCTTATCCGAAATAGGTTAAGAGTTACATGAATAATATAAATACTTGTGAGCTACTAAGTGGTATTAAAAAAAAATAAATTAATACTAACAACTATAATAGTGGTGCCTCAACACTAATACACATATCCATAAAACTGTGCAAAATTGATTAAAAATAAATTTGATGTGTGTCGCGCTCCACCTACTAATTATATCCATGAAATAAATATATACTTCCTACACCTAACATGAATAGTACTAAAACTAATATATTAATAAATAAATCACTCTAAAAATGTATATTTGTGATATAATAAAATTGTGTATATATATATACACCAATGTGCTAATCAGTAAATGCAATAAAAATGTGCCAAACTGACAATAAAGATTCCAATATTGAGAAATGTGCAAAAAATTATTATTCAATGTGCAATAAGTGCAAGGATAATAAAAAAATTATAAAAATGTGCAATTTGTGCTAAGGATGAAGTTTAAAAAAAAAAAGTCCACTCTCTGATGCTAATCTTGCTGTGCAGAAAAATTATTGCGCTCACCTCACTTATAGCCAAACCGTTAAGTAAGGCTAAAAAATGCTTTTTGTCCTTAATTGGACCAGATGGTATTTTTCATGCTAAAAAATAGTGTATCAGGATGATGATGGATGGACTGTAATGACACCCTTCTCCCACTGGGGGTCTCCTGGACTCTCTCCTGGCCTCACTGGATGGAAAGGGTTTTCTCCCCTCGTCCTGCAGGGGTCTGTATACTGCCTCCACCTCTCCGTATATTAAGTTATCATGTAAAGAAATAGATACATAGCGCCTTATCCCTTATAGAATGCTTTATTTAAAACTGTTAAATTGCGCACTCACATGATATAAATATGATAAAGCTCTGTATGAAAACGTATGCCTCAGTGTGTGCTCAAGCACACTGTCTGTACTCGCTGTACTGTCGATCTGAATGGTATTGTGATGTCAGAGCCCCTCCCCTACGCGTTACGCCACCGGGTCACGTGGCTTCATCAGGGGGATTCAATAGGACGCCACAACACTGGTATCCTTATATAGGGTATCCAGGCGCAATTTTGCCGAAGTCCGCATCAGCCATCTTTTTGGGGCTAAATACCGCTGTTAATATACCGACAATGCATAACAGTTATGCATTGTACATATTACATACGGAAAAAGCTATATACTAAATACACATCCTCTTATTACTCTGAACTGATGTCACTGGTACTGGTAAGAGTTACCATGATATTCCCCCCATAAATAAAAGTAATTTTACCCATATTTTTATCTAAAAAAGTGAAATTGAATTTGTATGGGATGTGTAACCATTATATTCCAGCCATAATCCCCATGCAGATCAATATTAACCACATTGTTATCAGAAATGCATTACTTTTTTCCTTGGCGTTTGTAATTTTTAATCTTAATTTTTTGTTCATCTTCATTTTTTAAACATTTTCTAGGTTCCTAATAAAACAGTTCAAAATTTAGTGCTTTACACATACAGTTAGGTCCATATATATTTGGACACAGGCACAATTTATTTTTTTTTTTTTCAGGTATTTACCAAAACATCCAAGCTATAAAAGTTATGGACGTCCACTGACAACAGTCGTGGATGATCGCAGGATCCTCTCTATGGTAAAGAAAAACCTATTCACAACATCCAGAAAAAGAAGGACACTCTCCAGAAGGTGGGCGTATCATTGTCAAAGTCTACAATCAAGAGAAGACTTCACGAGAGCAAATACAGAGGGTTCACCACAAGGTGCAAACCATTCAAAAGCCTGAAGAACAGAAAAGCCAGATTAGACTTTGCCAAAAAACACCCAAAAAGCCAGACTGGTTCTGGAAAAGTATTCTTTGGACGGATGAAACTAAGATTAATGTGTACCAAAATGATGGGAAGAAAAAAGTGTGGAGAAGGCTTGGAACAGCTCATGATCCAAAGCACACAACGTCATCTGTAAAACATGGTGGAGGCAGTGTGATGGCATGGGCATGCATGGCTTCCAATGGTACTGAAAAAAAAACTAAAATTGTGCCTGTGTCCAAACATACAGATGAAAGTCAAAAAATTTGAATACCGTGCAAAAGTTCATTTATTTCAGTAATGCAACTTAAAAGGTGAAACTAATATACGAGATAGACTCATTACATGCAAAGCAAGATAGTTCAAGCTTTGATTTGTCATAATTGTGATGATTATGGCTTACAGCCCATGAAAACCCCAAATCCACAATCTCAGAAAATTAGAATATTACATGCAATCAATAAAACAAGGATTGTACATAGCACAATATCGGACCTCTGAAAAGTATAAGCATGCATATGTAACGCAGTACTTGGTTTGGGCCCCTTTTGCAGCAATTACTGCCTCAATGTGGCGTGGCATGGAAGCTATCAGCCTGTGGCACTGCTGAGGTGTTATGGAAGACCAGGATGCTTCAATAGCGGCCTTCAGCTCTTCTGCATTGTTCGGTCTCATGTCTCATCTTTCTCTTGGCAATGCCAAGGCGAGTTTGCTGGCCAATCAAGCACAGTAATCCCACGGTCATTGAACCAGATTTTGGTGCTTTTGTCAGTGTGGGCAGGTGCCAAGTCCTGCTGGAAAATGAAGTCAGCATCCCCATAAAGCCCGTCTGCGGAAGGAAGCATGAAGTGCTCCAAAATCTCCTGGTAGGCGGCTGCATTGACCCTGGACTTAATGAAGCACAGTGGACCAACACCAGCAGGTTACATGGCTCCCCAAATCAACACAGACTGTGGAAACTTCACACTGGACTCCCTTTGCAGGTGTTATGGCTTAATGAGCTGATTAGAGTGGGACACTTTGAGCCTAGAATATTGCACCTTTTCACAATATTCTAATTTTCTGAGATTGTGGATTTGGGGTTTTCATGAGCTGTAAGCCATAATCATCACAATTATGACAAATCACGGCTTGAACTATCTTGCTTTGCATGTAATGAGTCTATCTCATATATTAGTTTCACGTTTTAAGTTGCATTACTGAAATAAATGAACTTTTGCACGATATTCTAATTTTTTCGAGTTTCACCTGTATACGGACCTAACTACATGCACTGTATGAAATCAGTAAGTCTATTCCTATTAATATATTGAGTAATGTTTCCATTATGTCTGCATAATTTACTATGATGCCATTTTAGAGCTGCACATATCAGTAAGTGAAGAGTTAAACATTAACCAATACTACCTGCAACAAAGTATCAAGCACTGCAGAAAAGAAAATCACATTTTGAGCAACAACCAAATCCTTACCATGTATGTGTGTAAAATATACTGACACCCAGTGAGAGTGTTGAGCATTGCAGCCAATAATCCCATCATTCCCACATGCAGTTTAGTATGTCCCTGGAGATCAATCTCAGTGCACAGCAATCAGGCCCTCGCAAGGGCGGACTGACCATTTGGAAACTCGGGCACTGCCAGAGGGCCAGGGTCAGTAGGGGGACCCATGAAATGCCACTGGTACCTTTTTCATAGGCTTTTTTGAGTTTGGGCAAGGACACAGGGGCCCCATGATCCCTTATTGCCCAGGGGCCCCATGAGCTGTCAGTCCGCCCCTGAGCCCTCCTATATATAAATATATCTTTGGGGGTTCCAAGTCATTTTCTAGCAAAAATTACCGATTTTTACATGTAAAAAAAAAAGTGTCAAAAAAAGACCTGGTCTCAAAGTGGCTCGGCCACCCTTGAAGATTCCCTCCATATGCCCTGAATACGCCCTTTTCTCATGCTCTGTATTTTACACACACATGGCTTCCACTCAGCTCCATCAAGTTTCCCAGCCTCTTCCCCACATTCCCGGCTCTATCCATCAGTCTCCTATCCTCCGCCTTCCCGGCAGCTCTGTGGAGCGACTAGTGAGCGCGCACTACACCTGCTCACAGGGCTACGTGCACGAGCCAATGGGCTGGTCGTGTACCGGTCATGTGACCGTGACATCGGCGGAGGTCCTAGAGCGCTGTGAGTTGTGGAGTCAGAATGGCGGCGGATGGAGACTTCCTGCTGAGATACCGAGCGGTGTCCAACAAGCTAAAGAAGTGCGTTGTTCCCACTAGGAGTGTTTTATCTGTTGTAGTCCCGGGGAGAGCAGGCCAAGACGCCGACAATGGTTCCCTGCTCCCTATATGTGCCTTGACATCCCTGCATTGTGATCTCTAGGGGTGACAGTAGCAGACCTATCAGAGGAATTTCTGACATCTACTACAGTCAGGGTTCTACTCTTCTGAATGGGATGTTATGCAGACCAGTGGCGTCCCGTGGGGGGTGCGTCCCCACCTATTGACTCCTAATGCACGGGGTGACACCGGACCCTCTCCACGAAAAGGTAAGTTGTAAAGCAAGTCAACAATCCCCGCAGGATGGATCGGATCTGCGGATTGGGGAGCATAGTGGATTGGACTCTGATCCGTTATGCTCAGTCCGCAGATCCGAACCATCCTGCGGGGATCGTCGGCATGCAACCTATACGGGGTGACATCGGACCCGCTCCACTAAAAGGTAAGTTGTAAAGCAAGCCAACAATCCCCGCAGGATGGATCGGATCTGCGGATTGGGGAGCATAGTGGATTGGACTCTGATCCGTTATGCTCAGTCCGCAGATCCGAACCATCCTGCGGGGATCGTCGGCATGCAACCTATACGGGGTGACATCGGACCCGCTCCACTAAAAGGTAAGTTGTAAAGCAAGCCAACAATCCCCGCAGGATGGATCGGATCTGCGGATTGGGGAGCATAGTGGATTGGACTCTGATCCGTTATGCTCAGTCCGCAGATCCGAACCATCCTGCGGGGATCGTCGGCATGCAACCTATACGGGGTGACACCGGACCCGCTCCACTAAAAGGTAAGTTGTAAAGCAAGCCGACAATCCCCGCAGGATGCATTGGATCAGCGCATTGGGGAGCATAATGAATCAGAGTCCAATTCATTATGCTCAATCCGCAGATCCAATCCATTTTGCAGGGATCGTCACAGGGAGTGTCGCCAAGTGTTATCGCACCGGGTGACACCAAACCTAGGGACGCCCCTGATGCAGACCATACATAATACAATCTGATTGTTAAGTCTCAGTCTTTGTACACGTTACAGTCTGACCGTACGACCGACTTTTCTACAAAAACTCTGTAATGGGAGGAAACACCTTAAAGAGGGAGCTCCAGTCTTCCCCCGAAAAATTATAAGTCAGCAGCTACAAATACTGTAGCTGCTGACTGTAATATAAGGACACTTCCCTGTCCAGGGATGCAACGATGTCCTCGTCTGAGCTGATACGTCATCAGGTGCAGGAGCCGGCAACTGGGGTAAAGGAAAGTGGCAATGAAGCCTTCTAGCTTCACAACTGGTTTCCTACTACGCATACACGCATGTGACTGGACCTGCATTTTTCTGGGACCTGTATGTGGCCCAGCAAGCTGCCGGGGGAAGGAGGAGGGGCCAAAAGGTAGCTGCGGGATGCTACCTGGAAGTGAGAATGGGTACCTGTCAAAGCCAGGTACCCACCCCAAAAAGTGCCAAATGTGGGAGGGGTGGAGGCAAACAAGCAGAGCTCCTTTTTGGTGAAGTTCCACTTTATCCCTGGTTCACACTGATGCAATGCGAAATTTGCAGCGTTTTCTGTGCGAATTCCGCACCGCATCAGAATCGCACTCCGTTCATGTTAACAGCACCCTGAAAGCGGTCTCGGAAACGCAGTGTGATGTGCAGAATCGGATTGCATAGGTGTGAATACGCATGCGATATGATCCTAGTGTGGACCAAAAAAAGGGTCCTGCACGTTTTTGGTGCGATTAGAGCCATACAAAATGTATGGCTCCAATTGCACCACACACAAATCACATGTGATTTGCACAGGAATGCGGTGTGGTTACTGTGCGAATCACGTGATATACTGCATCGCATATTTGTGAACCCAGGCTTAAATTGGTTGTCAAGGCAGAAAGATTTTACCTTTCTGCATTAAGGTAAAAACACCTCCTGCATGCAGCTTCCCCCTCAGCTCCCCCGCCCAATCTTGATCCAGCGATGTGCACAAGGGCAGAGTTTTCCTCGGCTCTCTCTCTCCTCATTAGCTCAGATAGAGCAATGGGAGCTAGTGGCTCCTGCTGCTGTCAACCACAGCCAGTGATGATAGAGCGAGCGGTCAATAAACACACAAGGCTGGTTCAGGAGTGAGCCGCATGAGGAGGAAAATTGGGTCTGCTCTGTGCAAAACCATTACACAGAGCATTTACAATCACTTAAATTATCCAATCAGATAGATTCTTGTTATATGTAGTTGTTGGTAGATCTAAATGAGATTATTAAATCAGATTGTAAAGTGTGTGGCGAGCTTCAGATCTACCAAAAGCTAAATAGTGCCAGGGCCTTCTTGATTTGATACCACCTGAATTGATTGTGCAGGTTTGTCTTCATATTACATAGTTTAGTAACTGTAAAGAATATTATACAATCAGATTGTATAGTGTATGGCCAGATTTCAGCAGATCATATCTGCGTCACTGGTATTTATTGTAGGGATCTGAACTCATTCTAGATGACCATTTTGATTTTGCAAACTTCTTTCACTTCAACTGATTTTTTTTTTTCCCACCAGTGTAACTTGATGAAATCACCTTCATGCATTTTGGTTTTCCTGTTTTTCATTATAGGAGATTTCTCCGCAAGCCGAATGTTGCTGAAGCCAGTGAGCAGTTTGGTGAGTAATGTCTTGTGTTTTACATGATTAGTAATCAGTAGTACAGATAACACAGAATGTTTCACGTGTTTATGTTTCCATAACTGTTCTATAAAGCCCTCCTCTGGGCACTTTTATAAAATGGGCCACAGTTATAGTAAAATGACAAGGTATTGTACAATATCAAATGTTTTATTTTTTTTTAAAATAGATATTAGTTCTATTCCCTGTGTCATTGTTTGCCTCACTTTGTAATGGCAGATTGATTCTCCTAGGTCCATGTATTCATTTACCTAGCTTGTCCCTATTTTCAAAAGGGACAGGCAACTTCTCTTCATAGTCACATTGGTTAAATTACTACAACTTGAAAGTGCAAAATCTGCAATTTATATTTGCTAAAATGATTGCACTTCCATGTTCTGTATTGTGGAAGATCAGATAAAATGAATGCAAGCTCCTGGGTTTAGTAACACTTTAAGTTTTTGACAAAAAAAATCCCCCAAAAAACTGGAAGCTGATTGGCTTCTATGCAGAGGTGCACCAGATTTTGCACTCTCCGGTTTTCGTTAACCAACCCCACTGTGTCCAATCCATGCCTTGCCATTTTCTCTGCTTTGCATCACAAATGTGGCAGTGCTAATGTGATAGAACTATGATCTCTCCGGAACTTGCTCTGCCTGTTTGTGTCTGTGTCAGAATTATTAGTTCTCACCTTCACAAGCACAAGACTGAGAGATCCAGGGATTGTGGAATACATAGTTTCTTCACGGGACATGTCAGTTGTTAAACTACAAACTAGGACAACAGGATATTACTTCTATATAGTTCAACTTGTAATTAAACAAGCACAGTCAGCGCTCAGGTCCACAGGGAATAATCCATAGAGTTCACAAAGCAGGTAGATGGATGGCAAGAAAGATGGATGAGAGAAACACACTCTGCCCGGCAGCTCCTAGCCAGTGGATCTGGGTAATCCCTCACAAGCATACAAAGGAAACAGAGCAGGGTGCCAGATTAGTGTATACTTAAAACAACACTTTAATTCCATATCTCACTTAGTGAGATATGGAATTAAAGTATTATTTTTAACTATACACTAATCTGGCGCCCTGCTCTGTTTTCTTTGTATTACTTTTATTACTTTGAGTGTGGAGAAACCACTATAGTTGGATTACCTTATACTTACAAGAAAGCAGTTCTTCAGTGTGGAAAAAAAAAATAAAAGTCAGCAGCTACAAATATTGTAGCTGCTGACTTTTAATAAAAGGACACTTATCTTTCCAGGGATCTAGCACCATCATCACCCAGGCTAGTTCTTTACTAGTCTTTGGGTTCCCGGCGCCGCCATCCTAAATGTGGGCAGTCGGCTATACTGCTTGTGGCTTCACAGCTAGCTGCCTACTGTGCCTGGTCCCCCAGTCTTGTGGGACCTATGACGTATCCCAGAAAACTGTGGGGAGGAAAGGGGGGGGGGGGAGGAGAACTTCTGCTTGGATCCAAGCTAAAGTGGGAGCAGGTAGCTGTCAAAACTAGGTACCCTCTCACCTCTTCCCCCCCCCCCCCCCCCCATAAAAAAAAAAATAGCATGCCAAATACGGTAGAGGAGGACTCCCCTTTTGAGTGAAGTTCTGCTTTAAGGACTATTCATAATTTTCTTTCACATCCCTTTATATATGTGGTATTGAGTTTTATATTGAGCTCCAGGTTTAACTTGGCCTGCTTAGTTCCATTTACGTTACTTTTGTTCTTAAACTACAGACAGAGATCATGCATTAACCTGTGCAGTCCCACACTGCGTGCCTCATGTTGGAATGGTACCAGCTGATTGGCGTAGAGCAAATGTAGACCAGTGAGTAGTGATAAATGATTCATTCTCTGAGTGATCTACAGTTGTGAGTGGTGGACCCCAGTGCTCTGTCTTGGGCCAATGCTGATTAGTTTGTTTATTAATAATGTAGAGGTTGGAATTAAAGTGATTCTAAAGGCTTATTTTTTCTTAAGAAAAAAATAACAAACATGTCTATACTTACCGTCCGTGTGCAGTGGTTTGGCACAGCACAGCCTGGATCCTCCTCTTATGGGGTCCCCCGCAGGCTCTCCTGGCCCCTCCTTCTTGTCGGGTGCCCCCACAGCAAGCAGCTTGCTATGGGGGCACCCGCTGCTTTGTGTTTCCATTCACGCACAGAGACGGAGCTCAGCCCTGTCCCCTCTCTCTTCTCATTGGTTCACTGGCTGTGATTGACAGCAGTGAGAGCCAATGGCTCCCGCTTCCATCTCAGCCAATGAGAAGAGGGAGTCCTGGGATAGCCGAGACTCCAGTGCACATCGCTGGATTGAGAGGGGGCTTAGGTGAGTATTAGGGGGGACTGGGGGTGATGCTGCACACAGAAACTCTTTTACCTTCATGCATAGAATGCATGAAGGTAAAAAAACATTCAGCCTTTAGAAACACTTTAAGAGCTCAGTTTTAGTGTTTGCTGATGACACGAAATTACACAGGGAAATTATATCAGCAAAGGATATATCATTACAGAAAGATCCTAAAGTGGATGTTCAGTCAAAAGCTAACTAAGGCTAAACTTACTCCCACCCCTACTCTAAGTCTTTTCTATCTAACCCTGTAAAGAAAAGATCCGTATACTTGCCTATTCTGAAACTGCTCTGGTCCGACCCTATGATCAGCTGTCAGCGACAGCAACCATTGTAAGCGATCTCTCCTTTACAAAGAAGCCGCAGCTGAGAGTCATGTGACTGAACCGGAGCGTCTTCAGAATAGGTAAGTGTACAGACCTTTTCTTTACAGAGTTAGATAGAATAGGCTTAGAATTGAGGTTGTGAGTAGGGTTTAGCCTTGGTTAGATTCTGACTGAACTTCCACTTTAATACGATAGGGAGTTGGCAGTTGAGGTTCAATATCAAGAAATGTAAAGTTATGCGCTTGGGTGCCAAATATACACATGAATGAAAACTATACTTTAGGAGGGGCTCCCCTGGATGACTCAGTGAAGGAAAAGGATCTGGGGGGTACTTGTAAATCACAGTCTTAGTATTTTTTTCTGCTGACTTCGTATGCTATTTCTGTCAGGCATTAAAAAGGGCATACATCCCAGAGCTAAATCAATAATTCTACCCCTTTACAAAACCCTGGTTCAGCCTCATTCTGAATATGCAGTTCCGTTTTGGTCTCCAATACTTAGGAAAGATGTTGTTGAATTAGAAAGGGTTCAGTGAAGGGCAACAAACTTAATATGGAGGATGGAGAAAATCAGTTATGAGGATCGATTACACAGATTAGCTGTTCACTCTGGAGAATAGGTGCTTAACCACCTCAGTATCGCCATACGTATGTATACAGTGTCGTATTGAGATGGGTATACTGGGATCATGGTTGAGGCTACAACCGTGATCCCGGTATCATTTTTTACATTTGACGTTTCTCTTTTTTTGGTAAAAGCAATCTGAGCAGCTACACATCTGCTGGATCACCTCTATAGGCAATGGCGGTTACTGCCGCCACCTTTCCCAGGCTCTCCCATCCAATTGGGGATCTCGGGACCTCTCTGACCGGCAGCATCTAGTGCACTGTACAGAGAGAGGGCAACTGACATGTTCCTCTCTCTCTATAAGATCAGAAACGGGAAGCAACAAGGATTTAGTCACTTTCGGTTTTTCTTTACAAGCTGTTACCAGCTTGTGAAGTAAGTTTAAACTGGCATCCTTCAAAGGCATTTAAAGTGTTGCTTATACAGTATCTCCCAGAAGTGAAGTACACCCCTCACGTTTTTGTAAATATTTTATATCTTTTCATGTGACAACACTGAAGAAATTACACTTTGCTACAATGTGCAGTAGTGAGTGTACAGCTTGTATAACAGTGTAAATTTGCTGTCCCCTCAAAATAACTCAACACGTCCATTAATGTCAAAACCGCTGGCAACAAAAATGAGTAAACCCCTTGCCAAGACCCTGAAACTGAGCTGCAGCATGGTGGCCAAGACCATACAGTGGTTTAACAGGACAGGTTCCACTCCGAACAGGCCTTTCCATGGTCAACCAAAGATGTTGAGTGCACATGCTCAGCGTCATATCCAGAGGTTGTCTTTGGGAAATAGACATATGAGTGCTGCCAGCATTGCTGTAGAGGTTGAGGGGGTGGGGGGTCATCCTGTTCCACAGTAATGCACAATTTTAAGCAAAACGTTTGGTATCTGTTTACTTGTAAGTAATATTTTTGTATTTTTTCCAACAGAATAGCATTTGAAAAACCCCTGCGCAAATATTGTGTGACAAACAAAAGCATAACACCCACCATTTTATTCTCTATGGCTTTTGCTTAAAAATATATTTACTATAATTATTTATGTTCAGGGGTTCTAAGTAATTTTCTAAAACAAAAATGCAGATTTTTACATGTTTGACAGAAGCAATTGAGTACTGTCCGTGATACTGTTTTTATTTGCACTAACATACAATTTTGAGGACAAGCTTTCGGGGAATGTCCCCTTCTTCAAGGTCCAAGCAGTACTGTTACAAAGTTTTATCAGAATGTTAGAAGAGATGTGGGGATTGAGAAAGAAAAAAAAAAGCAGAAAGAAACACAAGCCGAAAGGTTAGCCTAGAGATAAGACACAGCAAAGCAAAAGCAAAGATGGGGGGGGCGGGGGAGAACAACACTCACAGAGGGAGTCATAAAAATGTCAGATAATGATTGAGGAATCCTATGTCCAAATTAAGGCCATTCTCTTGTGTCAAATAGAATTATCATTCTTAGTTCAAAAGTTTTTCTTTCCTGAATGGATTTGAAATTTCCTTTAAGAACTAAAACATTGAGGTCTTCCATAATGTGGTCTGGTTGTGCGAAATGGTGTCCCACAGGTGTGCAAAGGTCATCTTTTTATGTTCCTTGATGGTATGTCTGTGCAAATTCATCCTTGTTTGCAACTTCTGTCCTGTTTTGCCAACATAAGATCCTTTGCTACACTTTCTGCATCTGTTAGTGGGTTTCCTGTATATTGAGGTGTGAAGGGTATCATCCCTAATGTATACTGTGGTGTCTAGGAAGTTGACGTGTGTGGGAGTATTCCATTTTTAGTTTGATTGATGGATGAAATAAAAAACGCTGCAAACTGTGCAACAAAATCAATCCATCAAAAAGTGTCAGACACTCAAAATGGATCTTCAATATCTCCGGATCATACAGCTGCACCTGCAGTAATGTTGTGCACCTTATCCAGTGCAGAAAGTGTAGCAAAGGATCTTATGTTACCGTGTTTTTTTCAGGACAATTGGGCTTTCATTTGGTGGTAAATGGTAATGGATATCTCCTGATTTTTTTTTTTTTTTATTCTCAAAGGAAAACTGACCCAAAATAGTAAAAAAAAAAAATCATTTTTTTATTTAGCTGTGTGTTTCTTGTTACTAGCATAACCTACCACCAAAGAACAATATTTTTTTTTTTTTAATCCTGACCTTTGTCTCTGACATTTTGACATTGACCCAAACAATAACCCTGGCACTGAACTAGATCAAACCTTGATCTAGGTATTTTTTTCTTTATTTTTTATTTTATTTTTTTTATATTTATTTATCTTTTTTTTTTTTTCTTTAACAAACATTTCTTTTTCTCTCTATGCCATGAGTTAGAGAGATACAATGTATCTCTCTTCTCCATTTATAGAGAGAGAGAAAAAACAAGGGGGCCGGGCTGCACAGTGACTGATCACTGTGATAGCCAATTAGAGGCTATCACAGCGATCATGTGACCCGAAATTGGGAGTCCCGGGTCCCGATTGTTAGAACGAGACCTGGGGCTCTCAGTGACACCATGGTCTTTTGCTGGGAGCGTGCAGTGCAGCGTGCTCTCCGCACAAAGACAGGTACGCAAATATGTGGCCCCACGGAAAAAAGCCCAGTTCCGTGAGGACACATATTTGTGTGACGGTGTCAAGGGGTTGAAGGAGCTGCAGGAATATCTGGCAAGTACTGGCTGTGTGTTACATGTGACAACAATCTCCCATATTCTTCATATGTCTGGGCTATGGGGTAGAGTGGCAAGATGGAAGCCTTTTCTTATGAAGAAAAACATCCAAGCCCGGCTAAATTTTGCCAAAACACATCTGAAGTCTCCCAAAAGCATGAGGGAAAATGTGTTATGATCTGATGAAACCAAAGTTGAACTTTGTGGCCATAATTCCAAAAGATATGTTTGGTGCAAAAACAGCACTGCACATCACCAAAAGAACACCATACCCACAGTGGAACATGGTGGTGGCAGCATCATGCTTTGGGGCTGTTTTTCTTCAGCTGGAACTGGGGTCTTAGTGAGGGTAGAGGGAATTATGAACAGTTCCAAATACCAGTCAATATTGGCACAAAACCTTCAGGCTTCTACTAGAAAGCTGAACCTGAAGCGGAGCAGTGACCCAAAGCATACATCCAAATCAACAAAGGAATGCCTTTACTAGAAGAAGGTTAAAGTTTTGGAATGGCCCAGCCAGAACCTAGACCTGAATCCATTGAATATCTGTGGGGTGATCTGAAGAGGGCTGTGCACAGGAGATGCCCTCACAATCTGATAGATTTGGAGTGTTTTTGCAAGGAAGAGTGGGCAAATATTGCCAAGTCAAGATGTGCCATGCTGATAGACTCATACCCAAAAAGACTTAGTACTGTAATAAAATCAAAAGGTGCTTCAACAAAGTATTAAGGGTGTGCACACTTATACAACCACATTACTTTAGTTTTATTTTTACTTCCCTCTACCTAAAAGATTTCAGTTTGTTGTTCAACTGAATTGTTCAGTTTATAAGTTACATTAACGGTGGAAAAAGTTATGAATTATTGATCTTTGTCTCATTTTTTTTTACATCACAGACACCTGACATTTTAAGAGGGGTGTGTAGACTTTTTATATCAACTGTACATTCCACATTAATAATTTTGCTACCAAAATTAGCGTGTGCGGTAAATTGCCTTCAGCATTGTCCCTCCTTTTTCTTGCTTGAGGCTGCCATTTTGTTGAAGTCTAGAGCAGTCATTTCCTTATTGGATACTCTTCCCCCCCCTCCTTGGTCTCAAAATCTATTTGTCACCTTAAATTAAAATATGTACTTTTCCAGCCTTGACTGTATGTCTTGGCTCAGTTAGAGAGGAAGGCTGACAGAAGCTTTAGTGCCTAAGTTCACAGGCTGCCATGAGGGAGAAAGGAGATAATATCAGAGAGATAAGATAAGAAACTATCCTTGTAAGTTTAACTGTTTTATGTCTCCATGGCAGCAGAGTTTGTCCTGTCACCTCTCCTAGTTTTCTTTTATCCCTCCCCAATCTGTGTTCCGCCACACAATCTGTGTCATTTCTGTTGCTTTCTTTCCCCTTCAGCAACAGCAAATCTTAAAGCTGTCAGCTGATTGGCCTCTAGTGACTCTAATTTTAGGCACAATGCCAAGAATGGAGAGCAACTGAGCATATGCAGAGCAGGGTGAGACAGTGTATTACTGGATTTTAATCAATATAGAAACTTATATCTAATGTTTTGCATAGCTATACCTGCAAAAGGGACCAGCCTGAAGCGATCTATCAGGACTTAATTTCCTGAGTAAAGTTCCACTTTAAAGCGGCACTAAACCCACAGACTTACCGGTTTCCCAAAACCCTTAAATTCAACGCATGCCATGAATGTTAACTGTTGTAATTACTAGGATGCTTATGTTATCTCTCAGCTCAACTGTCAAGCTGTCCCATGGCTGGAATCATAACTGACCATGTGCAGCACCATGTCTAATAAAGATCCAACAGAGGCAAAGATGGCAGCTTCCTTGGCTGTAAAGGAAGTGAACGTATTGTTCAGTTGACTCCATTACAATGTACAAATATATCAAATGTGATTTCACTAACTGTAATAAACTGTTTAGTCTGAGGTCAAGTGAGTGAAGAGGGCACATGGCCAAAATTTTAGGTTAGAAGAAAAAAGATTTATATTGTGGGAAAGTGTTCTTTACTGTTAGAGCAGGGGAAATGTGGAACTCCCCCCCCCCCCCCCCCCTTCCCCCCAGGAGGTGGTAATAGTTGAGATTGTTTACAACTTCAAAATATTTTACAGGTCTTGCTCAGGAAGCAGAATATACAATGGGAATAGTTTGAGAGTAAAAAAACACACACAGATTGACCTGTGTCTTTTTCAACCTTTTAAACCAGGTAATTGTGCTTGAAGACAAACAGAAACTTCTGACACAGGAATGTGAAGATTTACTCTACTATAGGCTGTGCGTATAGGGCAACAAATTACACCATGAAACTAGATTTTATGCACATCTTACACTGGTGAAAACACAAGGTGCAGGAGGCGTTTATAATGCCTTTAAAAAAGCAGATCAGGGTTCAATACCCCCTCCCCTCTCTCCAGAATTGTTTCCTGCTGTAACTCCATTTCACCACTAGAAGTCACCACAATGTCTATGCTCAGATGGTAAGGGCCCATTCACATAGCCTAGCCCAGGGGTAGGCAACCTGCGGCTCTCTAGCTTTTGTGGAACTACATTTCCCATGAGGCATTGCAAAGATTACAAAACTGACAGTTACAGCTATGACTTGCAGAGGCATGATGGAACTTGTAGTCCTGCGGCTCTCAGGTTGCCTACCCCTGGCCTAGCCCAATGCAGTCCCAACTTATATCCAATTCAAAAAAACCCTGTTCCTTATCATGGCATTTCACATCACTGCTCTGCAGTGGTGTATGATGCAGAAAAGCTCACGTAACGTTTCAATAAAGTTCTAAGAATAAAAGGTTAAAGTATGATGTGCTATTTACATTGGCACCACAGTCTTCACATCGCACACCAGTGCCTATTTGGCAGTGTGCATTGCTGGTGTGTTGTAGCTGTGTGTTCAGCTTTTTTCCAGAGTTGATGACTGACTGATTTCCATGTGCATTTTTCTGTTAGGTCAGCTGGCAAAGGAGCTTAAACAGCAGGACTGTCTTCAGTATGCTGGGTTCTGTAACTTGGCAATGGCCCGGTGAGTTTTGCTTCTACAAATACAAGTTTGTACTTGATTCTATAGAAACTGTTCATCAGATAGTACAGTGGACATCTTTGCTACATCTTCAGAAATCATAGTTGCAGGATAAGTTGCCTAAAAAAGGCTATTGTTTTCAGTGAATGTTGAAAATTGATATTTGGACTTTTTTTTAGAAGATATAAATAAATTTGAATATTTCATCTATTAAAGAAAACAAGATAAAATATCAGAAGCATTGTTGGCTAAATGTTGGGGAATGACTTTCATGAATAAATCGAGCACATATTTAATTACAATACACAGGTAGACTAATGTCCAGTTTAATTAAATGCGTATTCACACTTGAACAATTTGTTGCAATGTCTGAACACACATTAAAGTCATATTAAAGGATATTAAAAAGAAACAAACATGTCATACTTACCTGCTCTGTGCAGTGGTTTTGCACAGAGTAGCCCTGATCCTCCACTTCCTGGATCCCCTGTCGGCGCTCCTGGTCCCTCCCTCCTACTGAGTGCCACCAGAGGAAGCAGCTTGCTATGGGGGCACCCAAGCAGGCTAATTCCTGAGCCACTGCTCTATGTATCCATTCACACACAGAGCCGCGGTTTTGCCCCACTCTTTCCTCACTGGCTTACTAGCTATTTTAGCCAGTGAGGAGGGAGAGTCCCTGGAGAGCCAAGGCTTTCATGCACAACGCTGGATTGCGATGGGGCTCAGATAAGTATTGGGTGGGGGGGGGGGGGGGGGCACTGCTGCACACTGAAGGTTTTTTTTACCTTCATGCATAGAACACAAAAAGTTGCAATGAAAATACAATTCCATGCCAGGTAAAATAATAGTAACATCTAGGTCATCAATAGCATAATGAAGTTACATAAAACAGTGCAGTACTAGAGCGAATCCAAGAAATAAGCATTGATATGGATATTGCAGGCAATAAGATAAAATCCAATGGCAAACAGTAATATAAGAAAGGCATACGCTTTCACCTTTCACATAATGTATGCTTAACAATCAGTTTCTCCAAGAACTAGGGAGAGTGATGCCATAAGGGACTTCAGGGGAAGGGGGAAGGAATAAGGGATAAGGAATAACAGAGGAGCAGGAGAACCTGATAGTATGGGAGCAAGGTGTCTCTTAAGAGATGGGGGAGGGATGAGGGGAGGTGGGGGAAGATTAAGGAGCTGGAATAAAATTGGAGAATGAGAAAGAGAAGAGGATGGAGAAAGGAAAGAGACCAGGGTAATGGTGAAGGAAAGTCAAGGGACACCCCTCTCCCAGGCGAGAATCCGGGGGAGGAGGGGAATCACAGTGGTGGACATCTCATTGAGATGGGCATTGTGTAAATAAAATAGTGCCATGGTCTCCAAGTTTCAGTGAACAACTCCTCTGTGTTGCACAGCGTAGCTGTGAGGTCTTCCATGTCCCATAGTTCACTTATGCAAACCATAGAGCTTTTGTCAGCTGGATAACATCTCTCCAGCAAAAGGGAATACAGGCCTTAGCAGCATTCAGAAGTTGTATAGCAAGGGAGGCCTTGTACTTTTTAACAGGTCTCTCTGTCAGGTGCAGCATGTAAGCCTGCGGGTTGTCACGCAAGTTGCTAAATGGTATCAGTCACCCCCTGCCGAAATGGCTTAATTTTCAGACATTGCCAAAAAATGTGGATCATAGAGCCATCTTCTGTGCCACAGTGCCAGCATCAGCTGGAGACCTTGGGGGAGATACGGTGAAGCATGGCAGGGACCTTGTAACATCTGGTAAGGATTTTGTAGCTAGTCTCCTGAACTCTTGTGGCAATGGAGGATTTTTGGGTGAAATACAGGATTTTCTCTCTTTGCTTTGCCGTGAGTTGTAAGCCTAGATCAGTTTCCTATTTGGTGAGGAAGGATGGCACAACGTCTTCCCCTGGATAGATCAGTGAAGCATAGATCTGAGAAAGGGAATGATGTACAGGTTCCCTCCTGTAACACAAGGGCCCTAGTCCCGTGAGTGGCCATAAGATGCAAGGAGAGAGGGAACACTGATGAAGAAAGTACCGTAGTTGAAGCCCACCCCAGAAATCTAAGGGAGGTTCGGCAAGTTGGGTGAGCTCTGTAGAGGTTAGGGCACCCTCAGAGTTTAGAATGTCTTTCAGGTGAGTATAGCCTGAAGTTTTCAGGCAAAGAAATTACGGATTGTTGAGACCTGGGGTGAATTCGGGGTTGTGCAGGATGGGAATTATAGGTGAAGGTTGTGGACTGAGGAGTTATGGAACATCTCCTGTGAGATCAGAAGAGTACTACCAAGGGTATGGTGTGCACAGAGATCTATGGGCAATAGAGAGGATATCCATGGCCAACCCAGTGCCCTGTGAATCCTCTAATTCCATGGTAACCCAGTGCTTGACTTCTCCATGGCAGTGCCAGTCAACCAACCTGGTAAGATGGGTTGCACGGTAGTGAGAGAGCTTAGGTAAGGAGAGGCGCTGCAAGGCAAGACGGGGGTTTCTTCGGGGACCAAACAAAATTCCTGAAATGGAAGCTAATTATTAGAAATCAGTTTGAATTAAAAGTGTTCATATAACTCAAACCTTTTTTTTCTAGCTTGGATAAAGCGAGTAAGGGTTACAAACCTCATTAACTGCATCTACGGGCAAAATGTAAAATCATTTATTAATTTCCTCATCGAATTTCATTTATTTATAGCTTACTGCTATTAATCAGAATAATTTTAACGTTAAAAAATACACATATTTCACAGAGCCTGCCTTCTGAACTACAGAGGTGCTGAGAGGAGGAGTTTCAGGAGGCCTAGTCAGTACTAGAATCAGTGTTTTCAGGCTGCAAGGTACCATGGGATATGTAGTCATGGAAATTGAAGTAAAGTAAACCAAAGAAATGGGCAGAGAAGTGACAAATCATGCAGGGAATCCAGGAAATTGTGGAAAGAGATGGTTAGCAGACAGGCAGAACTCACAACATAAAAGGAGATTTTTCAAGCAAGCTTATATTGGATTTCAAAAATAACTATTGTTTGTACTTTTTATAATTCTGATGTTAAAAAATAAAAGTGTATGCTGTGACTATGGATCTCCTTTAAAGGAGAAGTACAGCCAAAGCTCTTTTGGCTGTACTTCTGTGGATTACAGGAGTGTGTAGTCCATTCCAGTGACCCGTTTTCAGCTGACAGAGGGCTGAAGCCCGCTGTTGGCTGACACGTCACTCAGCCGGTCCAGGATGGGGAAAGATCCAAACTTCAAAGTCAGGATCCAACCCAGAGTCTGGAGCGGCACCTGGCTCAACCTCCTAGTGATCTGCTAAGAGCCTGAGCCAGCCGCTCCCTCCTCCTCCACAGCCCAGTGCTCCAGTGAGCGCGGGGGGGGGGGGGGGGGGGGGGGGCAAAGCAGAAAATGGTGACTGACAGTCCCACAGTCAGATCAGTGGTGAAAAGTTCTCACACTTACAGCGGCAGGGGACAGATGCAGCATCGGATAGATGCTGCATCCTCCAGGTAGGTATGATTGGGCAAAAAATAAAATACCACACTTCTCTTTTAAGTTTCTATTGTTGTGTCCCCAGTAGGCGTTGTCACCTAGTGACCATTGTCACCAAAATAGAAATAGAAATCTATAATTTTACAGAACAAGAGGGGAGGAAGTGAATGGAAATCTCCCTATTAAGAAAAAAAAAAATCTGACAGATTGTAACCCTTCTCTACTCTATCCAAAATAAAAAACATACATTGCCTATAAACTGAAAGTGTCACCGAACCTATTATTAAAAAATAAACGATATTGCATACCATAGATTCTGTTTGTCTGTGTCCCTCTAAAAAAAGTATTGGCCAAACACCTACCAAAGTGGTAGTAAACCTAAAAACACAAATGCAGGGGTGTGGAAATTTTTGAAAAAAAACTATTTGTGACAGTGACTAAATCTGGGTCCCAATCTACTTGTCCAGATAAAAAAAAAAAAAAAACATTTTTGCCAAAACCGTATTTAAATCTCAGGTGCTTTTAGGAATGTCTGCGGCTTTATGGCGACTTAAACATTTAATTTTTTTTTAACATTGCGCTGTATATCTCCTCCTCCAAGGGAGAGACCTTGCAGTGTAATGAGCACCGACTGGGTGCTCCTCAGGAATGGATAGTGTCGGGCTTATCCTTTATCACTGCCTTTTTTGCAGACGTTTAAAAAATCATTTTAGGCTTGAAGATTACACAAAACCCCCAAACATATTTTTTGAAAGCGGAGATCCTAGAGAATAAAATAGTGGTAGTTCCAATTTTTCATACCGCACAATATTACCGCAAAGGTCTAGGAAATGCCAAATTTCAGTAAAAAAATACACTTGTTAATTTTAGGGCACAAAAAAGCAATACGTTACCCTATTTTTTGGTAAGATATAAAAGATGAGGTTGCACCAAGTAGATATCCAACATGTCAAATCTTAAATTTGCATGCACTTGTGAAATGGCAACAAACTTCAGTACCCTAAATTTTCTATAGGCGACTTTTTTAAAATTCTTATAGATCATCAGTATAATGTTATGGAGGAGGTCTTTTGCTAGAATTATTGCTCTCATTCTGTATGCACGGCAAAACAGTGGATATAAAAAGTCTAAACACCCCTATTTAATGTGACCAATAAACTGTACAACTCAGTTGAAAAACAAACTGAAATCTTTGCGGGGGAGTAAACATAAAAAAAACTAAAATAATGCAGTTGCATAAGTGTGCACACCCTCATAACTGGGGATGTAGCTGTGTTCATAATTAAGCAATTACATTCAAAATCATGTTTAATAGGAGTCAGTACACACCTGCCATCATTTAAAGTGCCTCTGATTAACCCCAAATAAAGTTCAGCTGTTTTAGTTGGTCTCTCGTGACATTTTCTTAGTTGCATCCTACAGCAAAAGCCATGGTCTGCAGAGAGCTTCCAAAGCATCAAAGGGATCTCATTGTTAAAAGGTATAAGTCAGGAGAAGGGTACAAAAGAATTTCCAAGGCATTATATATACCATGGAACACAGTGAAGACAATCATCATCAAGTGGAGAAAATATGGTGCAACAGTGACATTACCAAGAACTGGACATCGATCCAAAATTGATGAAAAGACGAGAAGAAAACTGGTCTGGGAGGCTGCCAAGAGGACTACAACAACATTAAAGGAGCTGCAGGAATATCTGGCAAGTACTGGCTTTGGTACATGTAACAACAATTTCCCATATTCTTCATATGTTTGGGCTAGGGGGTAGAATGGCAAGATGGAAGCCTGGCTATATTTTGCAGAAAACATATCTGAAGTCTCCCCAAAGCATGTGGGAAAAATGTGTTATGGTCTGATGAAACCAAGGTTGAACTTTTTGGCCATAATTCCAAAAGATATGTTTGGCGCAAAAACAACACTGCACATCACCAAAAAACACCATACCCACAGTGAAGCATGGTGATGGCAGCATTATACTTTGGGGCTGTTTTTCTTCAACTGAAACTGGGGCCTTAGTCAAGGTAGAGGGAATTATGAACAGTTCCAAATACCAGTCAATATTGGCACAAAACCTTCAGGCTTCTGCCAGAAAGCTGAACATGAAGAGGAACTTCATCTTTTCACCACGACCACTACCCAAAGCATACATCCAAATCAACAAAGAAATGGCTTCACCAGAAGAGATTAATGTTTTGGAATGACCCAGTCAGAGCCCAGACCTGAATCCGATTGAAAATCTGTGGAGTGATCTGAAGAGGGCTGTGCACAGGAGATGCTCTCGCAATCTGACAGATTTGGAGTGTTTTTGCAAGGAAGAGTGGGCAAATATTGCCAATTCAAGATGTGCCATGCTGATAGACTCATACCCAAAAAAAGACTGAGTTCTGTAATAAAATCAAAAGGTGCTTCAACAAAGTATTAGTTTAAGGGTGTGCACACTTATGCAGCCATATTAGTTTCGTTTTTTATTTTTACTTCTCTCCACCTAAAAGATTTCAGTTTGTTGTTCAACTACAGTTGTACAGTTACATTAAAGGTGGAAAATTTTCTGAAATGATTGATCTTTGTCTAATTTTTTTACATCACAGAAAACTGATATTTTAACGTTTTCATGCATAGGCACCCCAGTGCGTGCTTTTTTACGTTTCTACGTGCATATATGTAGGGGGTGGGAAGGGCTTCAAATTTTTTTTTGTTCGAGGGATGTTATGTGCTTGGGTGTTAATTTTTGGTGACAGGTCTCTTTATTGAGACAGCCAGGGTCTAAAAGACCTTCATGTCTCCCCTGAGTGTAATTCAGTGTACATCACACTGCATTACATTCTTTCCTAGCCTCAATGGCTGGGAAATCTGTAAACGGGAACCCAGAAGTGACGTCATAACGTTACGTCCGAGTTAGGACAAGAAGGGGAAGGGAGTGGACGTGTCCGCTCTCCTCCCTCCTCTCTAGCCACCGGTGAATGTCGAACCAGTCCTGGCCCACAGATGGGCAAGCAGAGCCTGGGAGACATAGCGGGAAGGGGGGGAGGTTTGTATGGGACGGGGTGGAGGCTGGCACCATAGTGGGCTGTGTGAAAGGAATCGGCCGCCCAAATGCTTTCACCTGACAGGTGAGCCCTGCTGGTTTCCCGAAGCAGGGCTAAAGGTTAACAAAACTACCTGCACGGTGCCCGGAACTACATGTTCCAGGCATCGGGCATCGGAAATTTAAGGAATTTTTCTTTATTTTATGTTTATCCAGCCAGTAATACAATTCCTGTCTTAGCATGTCGGCATTCTAGATAAAGCGGTAAAGCAGATAACATTGGACAGCAGCATGGGTCAGCATGATGGAAGAATAATATTAAGCTGCCCATACAAGGAACACAATTCTACTGGCTCAGCAGTAACCAGCTGAATTTTTAACTATGTATGGGCACAGTGCTTGTACAGAAGTCGATCTACCAGTTAACTTCTGTACAACTGCATTGCAGGCAAATTTTCTCTCTATCGGCACGAGCAGCTTCACTGACTTATTAACTGTTTACTGTCCTCCACTAATCTTGAGCAGTTAAAAACGATACTAAAAATTAATTTTATTTTGTAAAATAATAAACATGTTATACTTACTTGCTCTGTGTGGTGGTTTTTGCAAAGAGCCGCCCGGATCCTCCTCTTCTCGGGTGCCCTGCCGGCGATCCTGGCTGCTCCTTTCTGTCGGGTGCCCCCATAGCAAGCAGGTGTGTTCCTGAGCAGCTGCTCTGTGTGTCCATTCACACACGGAGCCGCGGCTTGGCCCCATCCCCTCTCTATTTCATTGGCTGACTGACTGTGATTGACAGCAGCTCCCGCTTGCTGTCTCAGTCAATGAGGAGGGCAGAGGCCCGGGACAGCCGAGGCTGTCGTGCACATCACTGGATTGCGATGGGGCTCAGGTAAGTATTGAGGGGGCTGTTGGGGGGGTGCTGCACACAGGTTTTTTACCTTCATGCATAAAGTTAAAAAAACCTTCAGCCTTTGTAACCACTTTATCTGTTTGTAGGAAATTTTTTATTTTGGAAATTGGATTTGCTGCTGCCTTCTGTCACTTGGTTGTACTTTCAAAGAAGGATTACTGACTTGATCTTGCAGAGCTGGTTTAGGTAGAGTGGAGCAGCCCAGCAATACTATCCAATTTTACATTGGGTTCAGGCATAACGATGTCTGCAGTCTCTGACCATTCCTTGTATTATGTCTGCAGTCTCTGACCATTTCTTGTAATTGTCTGCAGTCTCTGACCATTTCTTGTATGTCTGCAGTCTCTGACCGTCTCTTGTAGTATGTCTGCAGTTTCTGACCGTCTCTTTGTAATATCTGCAGTCTCTGACCGTCTCTTGTAGTATGTCTGCAGTCTCTGACCATCTCTTGTGTGTCTGCCGTCTGCAGACATCTTACAAGAGACAGTCAGAGACTGCAGACACACAAGAGATGGTCAGAGACTGCAGTCTACAAGAGACAGTCAGAGTCTCTGACCATCTCTTGTGTGTCTGCAGTCTCTGAATATGTCTGCAGTCTGACCGTCTCAGTCTGCAGTCTCTGACCGTCTCTTGTAGCATGTCTGCAGTCTCTGACCGTCCTCTTTGTAATATGTCTGCAGTCTCTGACCGTCTCTAGTATGTCTGCAGTCTCTGACCATCTCTTGTGTGTCTGCAGTCTGCAGACATACTACAAAAGACAGTCAGAGACTGCAGACACACAAGAGATGGTCAGAGACTGCAGACATACTACAAGAGACAGTCAGAGTCTCTGACCATCTCTTGTGTGTCTGCAGTCTCTGACTGTCTCTCGTAGTATGTCTGCAGTCTCTGACCGTCTCTTGTGTGTCTGCAGTCTCTGACCGTCTCTTGTAGCATGTCTGCAGTCTCTGACCGTCTCTTGTGTGTCTGCAGTCTCTGACCATCTCCATTTCATGCGTATTTAGGGGTGAAATTAGGGGTGGAGCAGTGTAGGGGTTGGGTGGCACAACTTGTGCTGAGTAACTCTTAAGGCCTGGCTAGTAGCTTTGGACTTGAAATTTTCAGCCCTGTTTTTAAAATTTCATTGTACCATAGTTAATAGAACTGGATATCTTGTTTTATGCTGACAGGATTTTTTTTTCATGACTTCTGATCCAGAATTTCTGCTGAGACTGATTAGTTCATTTTTGTGGATTCTGTGTTAGGTCTCGCTCACACAGTCATACTTGAGCGTACACCCTTGTGAAGGCTATATTTCATCTGCACAGGTGTTCCGTGCATCCGCGTGCTGGTGTGAACTGGCCCCTAGCCAGTACGGACGGATCTTTCAGCGGAGGGGGGGGGGGGGGTTACACACAATTCAGTGGCTACAGCCACAGGAATTGTGTATAAAACTGACAGGCATACTCCTGCCTGTCAGGTGGAAGCAGTCGGTGGCTGCGCTGCTGCCCAATTGCTTCCACACACCCTGGTAATGGCACTCCCCTGTGTACACCCACCTCTGCCATGTATTCCTAGCTCTGCTTGCCCGTCTGCAGGCCCAGGGACAACATGGCGGGTGCCGGTGAGTGAACAGGAGATAGGACAGTGCACGTGTGTCTCCCTTTCTTGCCGTGACCTGGAAAGCAACGTGTATGAAGTCACTTCCGGGTGAACCTGTCGCTTTTTTCACTATTCCAGCCGGGGAGGAATGTGATGCAATGGGATGTGCATTGCTATATATTCAGTGGAGCCCAGAGGAGACATTGCAAAAATATAAAGCCACACCCAAGCACATAACATTCCTTCCTCCCCCCCCCCAAAAAAAAAATGTTGCGCCTCTGCCCCATCCCCCCTATTCCACGGGTGCACACAAATTTAAGGTTTGATGTGTATCTATTACTCGGCGCAACCTCGTCTTTTATATTTTACCAAAAATTTTGATAATGTAGTGAATTTGTTTTGCATAAAACAAAGGGGCGCCATCCCAAACCATCAAATTTAATAAAGGGAAAGCAGCTCTTTACAGTGTGAAAACACTGTGTAAAAAAAAAAAAATCATCAATAATAAAAAGGCTCTATTCCCACTTAAATAATTCTCAATGCAACTCAAAATAATATATAAATACAAATCTTCATAGAGGCAATAATCACATGCTTTATGTATTTATATATTATTTTGAGTTGTATTGAGCATTATTTCACTGTAATTGGGAATAGCGCCTTTTTTTTTTTTAGTGATGATTTGTTGCATTTGCTTGCCCTAAAATTCACTTTTAGTGTGTTTTTTTTTTTTTTTACTGAAATTTTGCATTTCGTAGACCTTTCACAATATCGTGTGGCATAAGAAATTGGAACAACTACTGTTTTATTCTCTTTCAGAAAAATATATAATGTTTCGGGGTTTTGTGTAATATTCAGGCCTAAAATTATTTTTTAAATGTGTGCAAAAAAAATGCAATTAGGGCTCTGGCAGTGAAAGGATTAAACATAATGTTTGTTACATTTTTAGCATTTTTTAATTGTCAGTGATATATTGTTTGATACAGGTGTGAACAAACATTGTTTAATGCACCGGGAGAAGCCATGGCTCTGACCGAAGCTGCCCGCCTGTTCCTGCAAGAGGAAAAGGAGACTCAACGTTTACGATGCCCTGGTTTTGAGGAGCATTTGCAGGCAGCTATCAACTGCTACAGCTTTGCTATCAAGGTAGACTGTTGATGTTTTTTCTGGGTCAGACTGCAGCTCTTCATTTTTACCAACCATTCAATTCTTGCTAGTTTTATACATTTGCACCATTTTTTCACATTCCAGGCTAGGAGGCTAGAAAAACCTAATGCATATGTCATTATCTCTGTAAACATTTCAAGAAATTTAAAATGGGCCATGTTGTGTGTGCTTTGAATTGATTTCAATTGGATTTCAATTGAATTTCATTTTTTATATTTCCATTCTTTGTTTGAGCCATGTCCTTTATATATACTTGTCATTTAAAGTGGTTTAAAAAAGTCAAACGGCACTTAAAATGTGAAATTTTTTTTTTTTTTTTCTTGGGGCGGGTACCTATTTCTGACAGGTAACTGCTCCACTTCTGCTCAGATCACCTAGGCCCGTCCACAACCTCCTTGATAATGTCACAGGTCCCAGGAGGTTGTGGGTCCACTTGAGAAAGTGCAGCACTATTCATGCATATGCAATGGGAAACCAGCTGTGAAGCACCAACAAATCATAGCTGGCTTCCCTTATCCAAAATGGCAGCACCGGGACCTGAAGACTGGTGAAGAACAGTTTTGGGTGAGAACAGCGCTTGATCACTGGACTAGTTAAGTGCATGTGCAATAAAAGTCAGCTGCTACACCTTTACTAAGTACATGTTTGTATTTTGTCTTTTGCTAAAAATAAAAATTATTGAAAAGAAAGGTCAGCAGCTACAGTATTTATAGATACAGACTTTTATTTTTTTTTTTCCCGAGCAAAGTTCCACTTTCAAGTATAACTAAAAGCAAAACATTTTTTTTTTTTCGTTTTGGATGGAGTGGAGAGAGATTACTGTCTGTGGCCCATTAAGCAAATTCACCCTCTCTATTTGCCCTGCTTACCATTATCACTGAAAGTGAAAGTAAAGAAAATCCCAAATTTTGGGTTGTCCCCAGAAAAGTAATAGAGGGGAATTAGCTTCTCTTTAAGTAATATGTGAGATTTAGGAACACTGTAATCCAGGAGCAAGATAAATCCAGAGGTGTGAAAAATGTAGCCGAATGCAAACTGGTTACCAGGCCATATTCAGGGATGTAGACTGTCATTAGAAACAAAACACAACTTTTGTTTAGGCCAGATTTCTTAACATACTTTTGCATTTATCCTTTCCAGGTATACATTGAACTGAATCAGCCTGTGATGGCAGCTAGCTTATGTTTAGAACTGGGAAATGCATTAAAGGTATTTCACACTCAAGCTTTCTTTGGTATTTTTTATTTAATTGCCCATCATTGATATTGTTGGTTTTAGAGAGTCGGTATACTTTCAGGACTTAGCCTCTTGCTTATCCCTGCAGACTGCACACCCTGTATTCTTGAAGCAACTGCTTCTGGTCACCACTAGAGGGCGCTGAAGGGAAGAAAAGCAGCAGGCTGCTCATTTATCCCAATACAAAGTCTGTCTCTTGCCTGCCCTTTGGCTCCTCTAGTAAATTCCTGTGTATCAACAAATCATGTACCTTGGAGTTTACAGGCTGCAAACGCAAGTATAAACAATGTGTACTCAACGTGCCCTTATTTATTATGTTCAGTGCTTTCTCTTTCCTTTAAATTCTTAACAGCACACCACAATACACACTATTTGTTGCAGTGTAGAAAAAATGTGACATGGCCTCTTTTTTTTTTTTTTCTGTTGGCCCTGTGACTTTTTTTTTTCAATGGGATGCATAAATGCAATGCATGCCTTAATGAACACTTTTGTATGCATACCCTCTCACCCCTTCAGCTCTTTGGACCTGTCTAGTATGTCCAGAGGTTAAAAGATGTTCACGGGTGCAGTAGCAGCTGTGAGAATATTTTAGTTTTGTTCATCTGGATCACAGCTTTTCTTTATTGACCCGGGCAGCTATAAAGCCACTCATTAGCTTTCACTTAACCTGCGGGTGGCAGATTTAAAAAGTGTTTAAAAATGCACAATACACTAAATTGTATGCTCTAAACTGAGGAGCTGTAAAGGCATTTAAGGCTGCATTCACACAGGCATTTAGCCATACTGCACATCCCAGCAGTAAGAACCTACTGATTGACAGCTATATATGGAAGCTGTAGCTGCTGAGTTTGCACAGTGCAATGACAAGCTGTCTGTGGCTGCAACTATTTATGAAGTTGATCCATTGCAGGTAATCACTGGCTCTGCAAACAGTTATGAATAGCTGTGGCTTCTGACAGCCAGTCATTGCATTGTACGAGTTTGGTAGGTTCAGCTATTCATATAGAGCTGTCAATCCAAGCTGCAGGAATCCGTAAGACTGATAATTTTGGGTACTTTTTGACATTTTGCAGGTGCATGTAGTTTTGAGGCTTATCTATTTACTCAGAGCTAACTGATCTTTTTTTTATACAAAAAGAATTGGGGCTCATATTGTATTTGTGTGCACTAAAATGTATTTTAGTGTATGTTTTTCCTGATAATATAGATTTGATAAACAGTTATGCAAATATCTTGCCACATAAAATTGCAACAAATGTCTTTATATTCCACAGGGCTTTTGTGTTTATATAATCTAAAATGTTCTGGGGTTTTAAATAATTTTATAGCCAAAAATGTAGATTTTAAAATGTGTGTGAAAAAATTTAAAAACAATTCGTCGAGAGGGGAGGTGGTTAATTTATGGGAATGTTTGTACTGTGTTTTCTGTTTAGTGGAATACAATATATGATATTCAGTCTGTTAAGTTTAAGGGTTGTGACAAAATGAATATTTTTGTTTTAAGGATATGAACAAGCTGGGCGAAGCTTTAGTTTATTTCCAACGGGCAGCAGAGTTACAAACACAGGTTCCTATCGAATGCCTTCTCTCTCTGGGATATGTGGCATCTTGTAAAATATTGACACGTGAGTAGAAATATTGTTTGTTTGCTCCCAGTAAAGCACACCAGTGCATACCAGCACTAGAATAGAGTATTTATCCATGGCTTGACTAATTCCTTTAAGGCTGGTCATCTGGTAAGTATATTTTTCAGGTACTTTTTTTTTTTTTTTTTTTTTAGCAGTGCTAGTTTTTTTACATTTCAATTGCTTGCTGCAGTGTGAACCATAAACTGCAGTATTTGATCAAATGATTTTATGGTTTGTGAGTTGTATGAAAATACAACAGTTACATTTTATATTTTATTCTGTTCATAAATGTATGCTGCTGTAGTAACATGTTGTCAATTAAATAAAACTATAATAAAGTGGCTCAGGACAAGAACACATTGGGGTTGGTTTACTAAAGGCAATCCAGACTGTTGACTTTGCAAGAAAAGTTTCCACTGAGCTTAATAAATTAGGTAATGCTCTGCTGGCTTCCATCACCCAATCATGTGGAAACAAAAATGCTGTTTTCTTTATCGTACATCACGGGACAGAGAGCAAGCTATAATAATGACTGTGGGTTATATGCCGCCCTTTAGGTGAATGGACACTTGCGGACCAATGAAACAGGAAGTCCTCCCCCATATAATCCCTCCTACAATGGAAGTTTTTTCGCTAGTTTCTGTAAGATGGATGTTCACTGAACATATGCTGCATATGCTCTGTGAAGCATACTGGGAGGTCTGGAATTATTCTACTGAGAGTCAAGGGCCTCAGTCGGATCCATTTGAATAGCTTTTAGCCAAAACGGATGGTACCCGAGCCTTGCTGGATAAGGAGAAGAATCCTTGGGGTTTTGCTTGTAATGCGGTTTTTCTACAGCGCTGGAAGGGGAAGTCGGCCACAATGTTTACATAGAATGCTGTTTGTACATGTGAGCTGCTGCAGTCTCTGCTACCTCTGCTGCTACCGCTGCTGGACCCTGAAAGGGTTGGCCAGGACACAGGGCAGGTTATTCTAAGGGCACGTGAGTACTTTCCTGGGAGGGTCGGCCAGTTAGGCAGGAGGATTGTGTACATGCTAACTCCTTTTTTCAGTGGACCGCATTGGAGTGTGTTGCTTCACTTTATGCAGGTCTATTGTAAATGCTGTGTTTTGATTAAATTCTTACACAGTTCTTGTAACGCTAGTGGAGGTAATGTCACCCAGAAAGCAGTGTGGTGGAGGCACAGCAAGAAGGGGTGCAAATGTACCACCGCCAGGTCCTGTGGAGGCTAGTCGAAGATCCGCTGTGTTATCTTTCTCTGAAAGACCAGGGGCAACAGGTCAGTCTGAGCTGCTGCGTTTATCCAGCATTGTTGCTACTACCGGTCCGTCTGCTTTGGTGTGCGTAACTAAGGAGGATCTTTCAACAGCCTTGGCACGGTTAGAAGACAAGATTGCTGGGATGGTTTCATCGGTGGTTTCAAGGTGGTAAGAAGCGGGAAAGATCCCCTTCTTTGGACCCACCAGTTCTTGAACAAGAGTGAGTGGAACCTGAGAATGAAGATGCAGTAGAAGATCTTGAAGAGGGTCAGGCAATTGATTCTCTGTCAGAGGAGTCGCAGCTTGATGAGAAGCAGGGGGTTTCTGTTTCTCAGTCACAGAAGTTATTAGTTAAGACCCTTACTGATATGGTCCAGTCAGGTTTCAAGTTACCCCAGTAGAGGCATCTGAGGTCTATTATTCCTCTTTGGGATCACTAAAGCCACCTCAAAGTATTCAAGCTTTTCCGGTGCACCCTCTTTTGTATCACGTTATGTATGCTGACTGGGAGCACCCAGACAGAGGTTTTTCTTCCGCCTAATAGATTCTCCGTTTTGTATCCTATGGAGGAGAAGTTTGTCAGAAAGTGGGGCATGGCGGGGGTGGACACAGCTTTGTCTTCCCTGAATAAGCATTTAACTTGCCCTGTGGATAATGCTCAGGTGTTTAAGGATCCGCAGATAAAAAATTAGAATTGCTCCTCAAAACTTCTTTTTCCCTGGCACGGGCTGCTGCACAACAAGCAGTTGCTGCTATCAGTATCTGTCAGAGTCTGAATGAACATTTCAAATAGGTGGTTTAAAGACCATCTATTTTGGAGGAGAATACGGCTGTGGATTTTGCAGATTTACCCACAGGCCTTGTGTTTTGCAGTTGATGTCCTTAAGGATTCAATTCAGCAGATCTCTCGCATGGCCCTTCTTTCGGTACACACGCGCAGGGTATGTGGTTGAAGAGTTAGGCAGCAGAACTTACATGACAAAAAATGTTGGCAGGTTTTCCCTTTCATGGAGCATGTTTGTTTGGAGAGGACCTAGACAAATAGATCCAGAAGATCTCAGGGTGAAAAAAATATGCTTTTACCCTTTAAGAGAAAGTCCAAACGCACAACCTTTAAGGTGCCAGTCACTTCTGTAGTTGGTGCTTCTTTCATTACGCAAGCATTTCACAGTACACAGGGCACTGCATCTAGGGGAAAATTTCAGGGCCAGAAGAAACCCTGGGTGCAGAATCCTTCCAGGTCAGATTCAAAGTCCACTTCATTGTGAAGGGGCACCCCCACTTGTGCGGGTGGGGGGAATACTTTTGTTTTTTTCAGAGATCTGGGAAGAGCTGATCCAGGACAAATTGATCACTGCTACAGTTGCTCAGAGGTGCAAACCGGAATTTCTTAAGGTCCAGTGTATTCACAAATCCACTGACTGGCTGTTGTCCCAAGGTGTGATTGTGAAGGTTCAAGCGGATGAAAGGTTCCAGGAATTTTATTCAAACCTATTCACAGTTCCAAAGCCATATGGGGATGTAAGACCTATTCTAGACTTAAAGGGGTTGAACCGGTTCTTAAAGATTTGTTCATTTCGGATGGAGTCAGTCCGGTCAGTAGCTGCATTTTTACAAAAGGGAGACTTTCTAGCATCCATAGACATCATGGACATATACCTGCATGTGCCAATATTTCCAGCTCATCAAAGGTTTCTGCAGTTTGCAATAGAAACTTGACATTTTCAGTTTATTGCACTACCTTTTGGGCCAGCCACAGCTCTGTTTACTAAGATTTTGGCTCCAGTTCTGGGGCTGCACAGAACTCAAGAATATTGATTTTAGGTTTTCTGGATGATCTACTGCTCAGGGGTCAGTCTGGTCCACGCCTGAGAAAAAAATGTGGCTCTTGCGATCCATGCTCTGAAACACTTGGGCTGGGTGCTCACCTTCGAGAAGTCAGCCCTGGAGCCAGTACAGAGTCTAGAGTATTTGGGATTGATCCTAGACACTGTTCAGTCAAAGGTGTTTCTATCTGCAGGAAAGGGCCACACCCTGAGTGATCAGGTTTGGAGTTTGAGGAGCAAGAAGTATCCTTCTCTGCATGAGGTTAATGGGGAAGATGGTATCCTCATTCAAGGCAGTGCCCTATGCGCAGTTCCACTTAAGGCTTTGCATGGGACAAAAAGATTCTAGCACTGGATTACCACATGTTTGTCCTCCCGGGTGCTGCAAAGCTTGAATTGGTGGTTGGAAGCTCAGAATTTGGAAAAGGGAAGATCTTTCCCACCAGTGATTTGAAAGCTGGTAACAACCAATGCCAGCCTCTCAGGTTGGGTGGCTGTTCTAGAAGGGACCAAAAATCCAGAGGATGTGGTCGCTGCAAGAAAAGATCCTTCCTATCAATATCCTGGAGCTTCGGGCGGTGCGGCTTGCCCTGAGATATTGGATGACCAGGCTTCAGGGTCCAGTCCGACAATGCTACAGCAGTGGCATACATCAACCACCAAGGCGGTACCAAGAGCTGGAGAGCTCGGGAAGGTAGATCAGATTCTGGCTTGGGCAGAAGGGCATGTTTCCAATTCTGTTAGCAGTATTCATTCCAGGGATAGAGAATTGGCAGGCGAACTACCTCAGTCATCAGGGGTTGTTTCTGGGGGAATGGGCTCTGCATCCCGAGGTGTTCTCGGCAATCTGCCAGTGTTGGGGGTACCTGGATGTAGATCTATTGGTGTCCAGGTTCAAGACCAAATGTGGACAGGTTTGTGTCTAGGACCCTCTTGCAGTAGGGGTAGATGACTTGATGATACCGTGGGATCAGTTTTTCCTAAGATATGCTTTCCCCCCGATTCAGCTAATCCCACGGCTATTACGCAGAATTTGAGACAAGGTGGTTTCCGGTGATATTAGTGCACCAACCTGGCCCAGGAGGTGTTGTTACGTAGACATTGTCAGGCTAGCAGAGGGCGATCCATGTCCTCTGCCAGATCGGTCAGACCTGCTGTCTCAGGGACATATATTGCCCCCAGCTTTACGGTCGCTGAATTTGACGGCATGGCTGTTGAGAAATATGTGATCGGGAGAATTTTTTCTTTTCTCCAATCAGGAGTAGAAAAAAAGTTGGCTGTTGGTATTATTTAGGGTCAGGTTTCAGCCTTAGCTGTTTTCTCCCAAGGACCGATTGCTTCTCACTCTTTGTTTCGTTCTTTTTTCAGGGAGTGATGTGTACTGTTTCTCCTGTCAGACAGACCCTGTGTCCTTGGGACCTGAACTTGGTCTTGGCAGTTTTACAGAAACCACCATTTCAACCTATCCGGGAGATTCCGTTAGTTCTGCTAACTGAAAAGGTTCTGTTTTTGATGGCAATCACTGCAAGAAGGGCATCGGAGTTGTCAGCTCTTTCTTGTAGGGAACCATTTTTGATTTTACAAAAAAGGATAAGGTGCCAAGCGTGGTTTCTAGTTTTCATCTTAATTAGGCCATTGTTCTGCCTTCATTATTTCCTAGGCCTCGGTCTGCAAAAGAAAGATCTTTGCATGCCCTGGATGTGGTTTGGGCAATAAGGGTCTTTTTGAGAATGACAGTGAGCAGATTAGAAAGGCTGATTCCTTGTTTATTTTGCCAGTAGGACCCAGGAGAGGACAGGCGGCATCCAAATCAACAATTTCTAAGTGGATTCGTCAGTTAATCATTCAAGCCTATGGTTTGGAGAGCAAGGTTCCACTCTTTCGGGTGACAGCACACTCTACCAGCAGTGTGGAGGCATCTTGGGCTATCCACCACCAGGCGTTAGTTGCTCAGGTTTGCAAGGCTGCTACATGGTCTTCGGTTCATACAGTCACAAGGTTTTACCAGGTGGATGTCAGAGCCATGGAGGATTCTGCCTTTGGCCGCAGTGTTTTACAAACAGCTGAATAGCTCCTTGTAAACGGTGGTTATTGTGATGTCACCTACCCAACAAAGTTATTGCTTTTGGGACGTTCCACATAGTCATTATTATGGACTGCTCTGTGTCCCGTGATGTACGATAAAGAAAATAGATTTTTTTTCTACATACTTATCTGTAAAATCCATTTCTTGGAGTACGTCATGGGACCTAGGGGTCCCTTCCCTCTTTCTGTATTTTCATTCTTTGCTTTGAACCCCGGTGTAGGAGGGGTTATATGGAGGAGGACTTCCTGTTTGATTGGTTGACCAGTGTCCATTCACCTATAGGTGGCATGTAACCCACGTAGTCATTTTTGCCTGCTTTGTGTCCCGTGATGTACTCCAAGAAATGGATTTTACAGGTAAGTATGTAGAGAAAAATCCAATTTTTTTTGGGGTGGGGGGGAATTTTCTATAGTAGACACATTGACACATCGAAATAGTACAATAGAAATAATAAAACCTGGGCAAATAGAAACAATAAAACGGACAAAGTTTGCCTAGTACACATCAATGCCCAGTGACAAGAGCCATTGCCAAAGGGGGGGTGCATGAAGGTATTAAACCCTGGGGCTCCATTAGTAAAACAAGGTAGAGGCACTAGCTGGGAGTGCTGCTTGTTGATTAAAGTGTGTGCCTCAGTACAAAAGAGAAGTGGGGGATGCTCTTCAGTAGATGGTGAGAATGTAAAAAAGGAGGGGGGATAGAGGGGTAAGGTTGGGTATAGGTTGAGGAAGAAAGACCAGGAGAGGAGAGGATAGTTGAAGAGAGAATTTGACTAGGGAGGGAAGAGAGAGAGTGAAAGAGGGACCAGTCATGAATGACTGTCCCAAGTGGGTCTGGAGCTGGTCATAGCAATAGTGAGTAGCGGGGTTGATTACATCGAGAGTAGGGTATGATCTATGCTCAGGCAATCATTGTAGGATATCCATGGATCCCAAACCTTCACACTTGTGGTGTGAGAGCCCTCCAGAATGTAAGTAAGTTTCTCATGGACCATGGTGTCCATAAATCATTGTTGAACCTTGGTGAAGTTCAAAAATGTTTGACGCCAGGCCCTGGCTATTATCTGCCTGGCTACCAGGAACAAGAACTCCATCAGCTTCCTCTGCTTAGTAGAGATTTTCGGGATTGACCTATGTAGTAGGGCATCCCATGGATTGTGGGCCAGGGAGGTGTTTAAAATTGCTCTGATCATGGCGTATACCCGTGTCCAGAAGCAGGTTGCTTTGGGGCTGGACCACCAAATGTAGAGAAAGGTGCCTTGCTCCCTCCAATCAAGAAAACACATTGTGGGGAAGCAAACTCTGCTAAAATGTTTTGTGAGCATTTGTGGGAGGCAAACCATATCTTGTTCCATGCATTTTGGTAATTTACGGGGGCCTAAAGAGTCAAGGAGGGAGGTATGAAGATCAGAAACCATACCCTTCAAATGGGGTCTTTGCAGCAAAGGTTCTTAAAGGGGGTCAGGCATTTGGGATGTCTTGAGTGATATCTGAGTAGGCTGCAAATATGCAAATTTATTTGGACATATCTAAAGGCGTCATTTGCGGGCAATAGCCCCAGTGATCCTGGGGATACTGAAAGGATTTGATCCTGTCAAGGGCAAGGAGTTTGTAGATGTATTTAGTGCCTCTTGTGTGCCACCAGTGAAAGGCCAATTGGTTTCTGGCCTGGGAGGAATTGAGAGGTATCCAGGATGCCCATGAGAAGCAAATGGGGGGAGATCAGTATCATGTATTTGATTAGGTCCCATTGGCAGAAAGAATGTAGTAAAGATGGATTAGGGAGCTTGGATCTATGACAATGAGGGATACATAGGAGAATGTAAATGGGAAGTGGGGAGCAATCAGCCCTTACCAAATTCAGTTGACATATCACTGGCAGTGTGAAGGGGGGTGCAATTTGAGCCACAAAGTAGTAAAGCTTGAGGTTAAGTACCACCAGGGCTCCCGCCACTTCATGCTGTTAAAGGACTGGAACAGAAAGTCAGGACCTGCAATGAAGCCAAATGAAGTGAGGAAATTTACATTGTTCAATTCTCAAAATGCGGCCAGGTATGGGAACTGAAAAGGCCCTAAAGTAGTAAAGAAAAATGCAGTTTTTTTCTGGAAAGAACGTGTTGGATTCTGCAGTATCTTCAGCTAGTGCATTCTCTTCACTATACCAGAGACCATCCACGGGGAGGTGTCTTTTTTGCAGAGGCCACTTTTTTGTTAAAAATTTAATTTTAGCGGCACTCACTTTAAAGCTGAACTCTAGGCAAGGAGCTAAACATAGATGAAATACATATATGAGAACTGTTTTATCTGACAAATTATTTGGTTTTCTGTTTATCCATTCCTGAGTTTTACACTGCTCTGCTGCATAGCACATTTTTGTCTAGAGGGTGAGGGGACCTTACGTTTTTATGTTGGAGTTTCACTTTCACTTACAGGTCCCACCCCCCACCCTGGGGACTGGACAGTGAAAGAAGAAGTATGATGAGCTCATTTCTTTGCCTCTGTACTCTCTCCTCCCATCACATACTCCCTGAATTCCTGGTCTTGTTGTTTTGCTCCTCCTTTACTCTTTCTGAGCAGTGCTGTACATGGAATGCAAGTTTGCTGATACCATTCAAATGTTGGTACTGACATTGCATGCATTAAAAAAAAATCCACCTGGGGTTCAGCTTTAAAAGAAATATTTCCTTAAGAAAACATTGATCCTTCGATTTGCTATTTCTCCTTCTAAGAAGGGTAAACATGACAACCAAATACTAGTTTCATGGTTGTCATGTTTACCTTTTTGCTTTAATACTTTGTGTCTCTTACCTGAACCATGCATGCATATAAGGTTGTATGACTTTACAGATGTTCATACTACTTCTAGGTCAGTGACTCAAACCTTGTTGAACCGAGTTTTTTGGCTGTCGGCAGCACATGCATTTTTTATTTTCTTTCTTTACGTTATAAACTGTGCTAGCAAATAAATGTCTTCTGTATTCTATTTAATTAATTGGAATTTCCTATTATTCTCTGCAGGAGATTATGATGGAGCTCTTGCAGTATTCACAGAGATGCAGTTGCTTGCTCAAGAAAAGGGTCTGCCTGCACCAGGAAGCAGTCTACCAGTAGGTAAGTATTTAATGGGACTTCTACAACTGAGCACAGTACTTTGTATTGTTTTACATGTACTTGAATGTATGCTGTTTTCCATTTTCTAGGACAATAGATCTGCAAACAAATGTTTGAAATATTGTTTATTATAGTACAGTCAGGTCCATAAATATTGGGACATCGACACAATTCTAACATTTTTGGCTCTATACACCACCACAATGGATTTTAAATGAAATGAACAAGATGTGCTTTAACTGCAGACTGTCAGCTTTAATTTGAGGGTATTTACATCCAAAACAGGTGAACGGTGTAGGAATTACAACAGTTTGCATATGTGCCTCCCACTTGTTAAGAAACCAAAAGTAATGGGACAATTGGCTTCTCAGCTGTTCCATGGCCAGGTGTGTGTTATTCCCTCATTATCCCAATTACAATGAGCAGATAAAAGGTCCAGAGTTCATTTCAAGTGTGCTGTTTGCATTTGGAATCTGTTGCTGTCAACTCTCAAGATGAGATCCAAAGAGCTGTCACTATCAGTGAAGCAAGCCATCATTAGGCTGAAAAAACAACACAAACCCATCAGAGAGATAGCAAAAACATTAGGCGTGGCCAAAACAACTGTTTGGAACATTCTTAAAAAGAAGGAACGCATCGGTGAGCTCAGCAACACCAAAAGACCCGGAAGACCACGGAAAACAACTGTGGTGGATGACCGAAGAATTCTTTCCCTGGTGAAGAAAACACCCTTCACAACAGTTGGCCAGATCAAGAACACTCTCCAGGAGGTAGGTGTATGTGTGTAAAGTCAACAATCAAGAGAAGACTTCACCAGAGTGAATACAGAGGGTTCACCACAAGATGGAAACCATTGGTGAGCCTCAAAAACAGGAAGGCCAGATTAGAGTTTGCCAAACGACATCTAAAAAAGCCTTCACAGTTCTGGAACAACATCCTATGGACAGATGAGACCAAGATCAACTTGTACCAGAGTGATGGGAAGAGAAGAGTATGGTAGAAGGAAAGATGCTCATGATCCAAGCATACCACCTCATCAGTGAAGCATGGTGGTGGTAGTGTCATGGCGTGGGCATGTATGGCTGCCAATGGAACTGGTTCTCTTGTATTTATTGATGATGTGACTGCTGACAAAAGCAGCAAGGATGAATTCTGAAGTGTTTCGGGCAATATTATCTGCTCATATTCAGCCAAATGCTTCAGAACTCATTGGACGCCGCTTCACAGTGCAGATGGACAATGACCCAAAGCATACTGCAAAAGCAACCAAAGAGTTTTTTTAAGGGAAAGAAGTGGAATATTATGCAATGGCCAAGTCAATCACCTGACCTGAATCCGATTGAGCATGCATTTCACTTGCTGAAGACAAAACTGAAGGGAAAATGCCCCAAGAACAAGCAGGAACTGAAGACAGTTGCAGTAGAGGCCTGGCAGAGCATCACCAGGGATGAAACCTAGCGTCTGGTGATGTTTATGCGTTCCAGACTTCAGGCTGTAATTGACTGCAAAGGATTTGCAACCAAGTATTGAAAAGTGAAAGTTTGATTTATGATTATTATTCTGTCCCATTACTTTTGGTCCCTTAACAAGTGGGAGGCACATATGCAAACTGTTGTAATTCCTACACCGTTCACCTGATCTGGATGTAAATACCCTCAAATTAAAGCTGACAGTCTGCAGTTAAAGCACATCTTGTTCGTTTCATTTCAAATCCATTGTGGTGGTGTATAGACCAGAAATGTTAGAATTGTGTCGATGTCCCAATATTTATGGACCTGACTGTATATTAAAGAATAAAGTGGAATGTTGAAAATGCTAGTTATAATGCAATATAAAAAAAAAGAAAAACAATTCAGAAAAAAGCTAAGGAGGGGTGAATGTCCTCTCAGGATTAGGCCAATCCTTATGTAGTGCACATTCAATTTGTGCATGGATGACAAAAGTCTTTTTCATTTTTTCAGGCCTCTTGTTGCCCATAAGGGCTTGTTTTATCTGGGAAGAATTAGGTGCTGCTAGGCAAAAACAAGTTCACGCTGCTTCATAGTGTCAACAATGCAGAACATTTGTTTGAGAAGCCATAGAATGTGACTCTTAAAATGCAGCAATTGAAGAATCTTCTGCAGCTTCTGTTACAATATCTGTGTCCCCATCCTTTTCCTCCACTTCATCTTCAAACAGTTTTGAAGGATCCAACTCTGATTCATGAGTCATGGTAGAAAGAGAGGAATTGTAATGTTTTTGTTACCTAGAAAACAAAGGTTCTAGGAGTGCCAAAGTTTTCCAAATTCAGGCATCGTGACAGAGAAATAAAATCTTTATTTGTTAGATAGACTGCATGGTGTGCATGCCTGAGAGGAAGTTAGAATCAGAGGAGGGGAACAGTATCATATTAGCACATTCAACCAAGACAAGAGAATGCTATCACTCAGAGTGGTGTTCTGAATTTCCTGACACTTGTTAGTTGGCCCATTGTTCTCCGCTCCCTGGCACCTGTGGTCTCTTATTGTTAAAATGGGGGATCTCTGGTGGAGTACTCACAGAATGGGATGTCTAAGGAGTTGGGTTTTGTGTGTCTGGAATGCTGGACCCACAATAACCCAGGTGCTGACCTTGTTCCTGTGGTTGGGTCAGTGTAGCAGAGGGCAGCTGGGAGAACAGCAAATATGCTGTTGCATTTTCAGTGCAGCAGCCAGGAGGTGTGTTGTGACATTATCATAATCCTGAGACCAAGTCTGGATGGGAGGAAAAATTCCAAATTTAAAATTAAGTAAAATATTACTTATTGCACCGAACAGTTACAGGGACAACAAGGAGTAATACAATAAAATGAACAACTCCCTATTTCTCTGCCTATGTCTGTGGATTGTGTTTCTGGCCTATAATAGCCTGGAACCCTTTCTCACCTTATCCACGTTGCCTTTGCTCATTACGAGTCCAAGCTTTGCCCATCACAGTGGGCATACCTTTGAAGGGGACTTTAGGGTCTTTGAACTTGGAGATGGATCACGGCACTGGACTGGTATAACACTCTGCAGCTAACTACACAGGTTGCACCAAGGTGAGTGCCAGCACAGGATCCAGTGTCTGAAGCAAACATTGAAGGTCAGCCCCACACAGTGGGGTCTGGGTAGAGTCCCCAAAGTATAATACTAAAGGCTACTTATATGGAAACTGGTAGGCCAGGGCAATAAGCAGTCAGATCCTGAGAAGTTTCGGAAGAAAAACGCAATGGTTAAAAAGGAAAAACTTCTGCAGGGGACCATTGCCCAAGGCACTAGCAGAAAATTGAGTTTCAGACTGATTGGCGTTATGTTAGTGCGCATTAGGGGCAGCCCTAGCAGGTTTTTTTGTCAATGTGCAGTCACCTAAAGGTAGTCTTTGAATACAAGCCCAGTGTCCTGTACTGTATGAGTAAAATCATTTTTCTAGTAGGATGTGGAAGGGTCAGAAACTATGTTCTAATGTTTTTACTACTGTCTGTGTCCAGGCAATGGATGTCAAAACAGGTGAGGGGAAATTCCCTTGATTAAAAAAAAAAAAAAAAACTTTCTTCAACCCTTTTAAAATAAAATATTGGATGTGTCGCACTCCTCACAAAGTATATAGTGATATGTAATATATATAGAAATAAATAAATGTAAATAAATATTACATAAATATTAATTCATGATGGTGTGATTTAAATTAAATTTTAAAAAACTCCCAGTGCTATAATTAATTAAATTATAATTAACTAAAAAATATTTAATAATGTGAAAGAAATGATGTATTCAAATTATGTAAACAAAACGTGAAAATGGACAAAGGAACCTCCATATACAATATTATATATGTGCAAAAAATTGGTATGTGCAAAAATGCAAATATTGTCCAAAACAGTTATACAGGCAGTCCCCGAGTTAAGTACATTCGGCTTACGTAATACTCATACTTACGTACACTTCCCTCGGGACCGGAAGTCAAGCTGTCAGCATTCTTGTGCAGCAAGCTGATAAGAGACTAGCTGATAAGAGACATCAGAGAGACATAAGAGACAGAGACATCCATTGCTCGTTACTTGTGGGGCTAGCAGTGTCTGCCCACTATCTCCAAAGTGATTTAAGACTGTCTGTCTGCACCTCCGGGGAGAGGAAAGGAGAGGCTGTCAGGCTGCTCACTGAAGTGATCCTCCGTCTGTGCAGGGGGGAGGGGGCAGCGTGTGCTGTGTAAAGGAGAGCAGAGTTCTCTCATACAGTACATTACAGTACAGTGTATTTTTACCCTGCAATAATGCCTCCAAAGCAAAAAGCTGATGCAAGTGCTGGCACAGCAAAGAAAAGAAAAACAATCTCCTTGGAAGATAAAGTAGAAATAATAAAGAGATCAGAGAGTGTGTGAAAAATCATCATCCATTTGCAAAGCATATGGTTATGCTCCGTCAACAATTTCAACAATTTTAAAAGATAAGAGTAGAATAATGGAGCATGTAAAATGTAAAACATAAAAGTTAAATATGTTAAGGCAAACATGTGTCCAAGCTGCAGTTCTTATGCAAAACACCAGTTTAGAGCCTCTTGAGGTTTTACTGCTTTCTGTAACCTTATTACAAAAACGTAATCTAATATCCTGTCGTTTGGTTAGTAGTTAGTGCTTATAAAAGTGCCTGATTCAACTTATGAACAAATTCGACTTATGAACAAACCTACAGTCCCTATCTTGTACGTAACCCGGGGACTGCCTGTATACAAAAAATATATATATATAATAAAGTGCAATATCCAAATAAATAAATAATGATAAAAACTGTGCAAATAATATATTATGATCACTTCACTTATGCAACCTAAAGTAGTGATTCAGGCTATATCCTTCTTATCCTTAACTTAAGTGACATATAATTGTCCCAATCTGTTTTATACAGATATATGGAAAGTATATTGTTGTTAAGGTAGACTGTGGTTTTACTTTCCTTCCACTAGATGGCCTCCCAGTTTCTTCTGGGTTGTGAGGGCTGGATGGATGGATATGGATATCTCCCCTCCTGGTGTCCGAGGTCTATCTCCTATCTCCTCTTCCTCCCCTGTACTCCTCCGATTTAGGCCATGAAAAAGAAAAATTCCCACATGGTGCTTTATCCTTAATAAAAGGTTTTAATGCGTCTCCAGACAAATGCAAACTCACATTCCACAGGATAATACAGAGCGTTTTTTTTAAATGTGTGCCCTCGCACAAAGACAGTACTCGCCGTTCCGCTGATAGTGGCGTCGTGACGTCAGAGCCCCTCCCCTACGCGTTGCGCCACAGGGTCACGTGGCTTCCTCAGGGGGATGTAATATGACGCCATGACGCTTCTGCCCTTATATAGGCCATTCCAGCGCCATTTTCTCGGAGTCCGCACGGAGGCGGCCATCTCTATGGGGCCAGATAATTACTGCTATTCATGCAATGTGTACACAGGAGTCCTGCATGGCACCCACAATCGTCAGATGCAATGCTTTCTAGGCTCCTAGTAAAAAAAAAAAATAAAATACTTTTTATATATATTAAAATAATAATACTTTTTTTTTCCTGGAAAAAGATGTGCATTTATTATTTTTATTAAAAAAAGGTGAACATATCCTTTTAATTCCACCAAAAGAAAGCTCTATTCATGTGAAAAAAAATATCAATTTGATTTGTGTACAGTGTTACATGATCAAGCAATTGGCAGTTAAAGTAGCACAGTGAGTAGCAAAATGTGCCCTGGTCATGGAGGTCCAAAAATGTAGTATGGTAAATTATTTTATGACGTCTTCAAGAAAATGCTTTATATATACATAATGCTAAGCCATTTCTCTCTTCAACAGACTTTTAGTAACTCATTACAAAGTAAAGTTTAGCTACAAAATATTGCAGAAATTGATAAAATAGCACATGTAGAAACTTCACCGGATCCATGTGATAAAATGTCTAGTAAATTGATAAAGAAAATTTTGAACAATAAATTAACAAATAATGCACAGGAGTGAAAATAATACAGTAGATGTTCATGAATTGGGCTTTTATGTGTTTAGTTAAATATGTTGCATTGCAGGAGCATTTTTGGATATTATAGCAAAATGTGAAGTGTCACGTGTCCTCCTCCTCATGCTGTTGCAGGTAAGCAGGAAATTCTGTAATTCTAATTTATCTATATTTCATGGACAGCTCTTGCAACAAAGAAATTGAAAATTGATACGTGTTCTGTTGTGATACATATCAGATCTATACAACCTTATTGCCACAGCAGGTTAACCACTTGCCGCCCTGCCACTGTAGAAATACGGAGGCAGGGCAGCACTGGCAGGCAAAATCACGTTTTAAAACGTGTGTTTTGTAAACAGATAGGGGGCACGCGCGAGGCGTGCCGTCGCCCTATCTGTCCCGCCGATCACCGCCGCGGATGTCAGTCGCCGGGTCACAGCCGGTCCTTAGCGGCTGTTTCCCGGCGATCGGCGGTAAACAGTGACAGAGAGCACAGCTGCAGTAGCTGTGCTGTCTGTCACTTCCTTGTCATCTCGAGGACGAGCTGATCGAGACAGAAGAGTTTCTCTCTCCCGATCAACCTTGTCCTGTCCAGCCCACACCCCGCCCCCTAGTAAAACACTCCCCTGACTCAGATAAGCCTTCCCTGCAAAATAAAGTTAACCCCTTCCTCCCTAGTGCCATTAGTACAGTGTCAGTGTTTTTCTTTTTGCACTGATCACTGTATTAGTGTTTTTGGGGATGTCAGTGACCCCAAGTCAGTACCTCCCAATGTCAGAATGTCCGCCGCAGTCCCGCCATAAGTCGCTGGTCGCTGCCATAAGTCACTGATCGCCGCCATAATTCACTGATCGCCGCCATTATTAGTATAAAAAAAACCCTAAAAATCCCAGTATCTTTCCCGCCATTTGTAAACGCTATACCTTTCACGTAAACCAATTAATTTACACTTATTGTTATTTTTTTTTTAGCAAAGACATGTCGCAGAATGCATTTTGGCAGAAATTTATGACTAAATTTGATTTTTGCTTTTTTTTTTTTACTGGACATGTTTTATAGCAAAAAGTCCAAAATATTGTTTTTTTTTTCCTCCAAATTGTCAGCCTTTTTTTTTTATAGCGCAAAAAAATAAAAACCACACAGGCGATCAAATACCACCAAAAGAAATCTCAATTTGTGGGGAAAAAAAGGATGTAAATTTCATTTATGTACCGTATTGCATGACCGCGCAATTGTCCGTTAAGCTAGCGCAGCGCTGTACAGCAGAAAAATGGCGTAAGTTGCAGTATTTATGCCATAGTTTGTAGATGCTATAACTTTCACACAAAGCAATCAATATACACTCATTGGGATTTTTTTTTACCAAAAACATATAGCAGAATACATTTTGGCCTAAATTTATAACCAATTTTGAGTTTACTATATATTTTTTTATAGCTGAAAGTAAAAAATATTGTTTTTCTTCAAAATTTGTGGCCTTTTTTTGTTTATAGTGTGAAAAATAAAAAGAGCACAGATGATCAAATACCACCGAAAGAAAGCTCTATTTGTGTAAAAAAAAAAAGGACGTAAATTTCGTTTGGGTGCAGCATTGCATGACCGCGCAATTATCAGTTGAATTAGTGCAGCGCCGAGTAGCAAAAAGAGGCCTGGTCATTGAGGGGGGTAAATCCTCTGGAGCTCAGGTGGTTAAATACCTTGTCAATTGATACAAATGATTGAAAAGTGCTATCAGCATAGAACATAATCTCAACCAACAGTTTTATAACTTATCTTGAATGGCAAAATGATTAGTCTAACCTACTTGTATGAAAAATGTGCCCATATATGGCCATCCATAGATGTCTTTTTGTTCTGTAACATCTTTTAAACATCCACCAGTAATCCTTAAGCAAACCATTAAAAAACAACTTAAACCAAAATGTTATTGCCTTTTATGTCCTTATTGGGCCAATTTCACAATCAGTCTCTGTCAGGACTGGAGATAATGTTGAAAACCTTTGTAAAACTACTTGCGGAACCCCCCCACAACCAAAACCACCCCCACACCCCCACGCAATGTACTGCCCGTGCAGGCACAGCGACGTACTGGTAGATCGATTTCTGCTTTCTGGTTTAGGTGACACACTTGCGCAATTGTACATGGCGGGAATCTGTCAGAAGAACGGCTCTGTGCAGTTACAGCTCAGTGCTCTGTGCTATAAATCAACACAGAGCTCTGTACAAAGGGAACGTTCTCTCTGTTGCTTCAAAGGGATAAGAAACAGAGATCTTTTAGTAAAAGCAGCACAACAGCACATAATAAACACATTGTTAGGTACACCTTTATTCTTTGATTGCCCGAGATGTAAACCCCTTCCAGCCAGTGTCATTAGTACAGTGACAGTGTATATTATTATCAATGTATTAGTGTCACTGGAGATGTCAGCGGAAGTTAGTCAGGTCCCCTCAGCGTCAGTTAGTGTCAGATTGCCCACAGCACTGATCGCTGATCACCGTCAATAACAAAAAATAAATAAAAATTCCAATATATATCCAGTAGTTTGTAGATATTATAACTTTCATGCAAGCTAATCAATATACACTTTTTGGGATTTTTTTAACCAAAGACATGTAGCAGAATATTTTTTCGCCAAAATGTATGAAGACATTTTATATTTTTATTGGATATATTATAGCAGAAAGTAAAAAATATTGGGGTTTTTTTTTTGTTTGTTTTTTTAATTTTAGGTCTTTGTTTATATTGCAAAACATTTTTTAAAAACCTTGTGGTGATCAAATACCACCAAAAGAAAGGCCTATTTGTGTAAAAAAAAATTATATAAATTGTTTGGTTACAGCGTTGCATGAGCACACATTACCAGTTAAAGTAGCGCAGTTCTAATAGGAAAAAAATAGCCTGGTCACAAAAGGGGCTAAAACATTCCAGAGCTTAAGTGGTTAATAGGGGCACAGGGAAAAACAAAAACCCCTCTTTTAGTAGAGCAGGTAAGAATAGAGCATGTGACAATATGTTTATTACTGTTTGTCTTCCTGTTCAATGATGATTGCACTTCCTGTTTCAGATACAGGCACTACAGGGGAAAAAAAATTGAGGAAAATCTCCCCAAAGTCACAATAGAGAAAAGACCTGCTGTAAATGTTAACTCTTGCCCCACTCTGTCCAATCAACAATTTTCGCTGTAGTTAGGCATTAAGAAAATGTAAATTCCAAATAGAAGCTGTACTCCTCACAGTACTCAGACTTTTAATGATGCATGTATCCGAATGAATGCATTTCACATGCTTTTAGAGCGCGGACAGTCAAATAAGGCATATACGAAAACAGGTTTCATTAATGCTTAACATAATGTACAGTTACACAATTTCATGATAGTTTTCCTCAGCACAATGCCATCCTGTTCGCACACACAGATGGGACAACAATACCAGAAGCAAAATGCTAATTCTTGAAGCTGCTGGTCATCAGCCATCAAGAAAATATGTATAATATATCCAAATGTTGTATTCAAACCATTGGGGGGGTTAACCACTTGCCTTCGACAGCATTTACCCCCTTCCTGACCAAGCCATTTTTTTTGCGCTACGGCGCTACGTTACTTTAACTGACAATTGTGCGGTCATGGAATGCTGCACCCAAATGAAATTTACATCTCTTTTTTACCACGAGTAGAGCTTTCTTTCGGTGGTATTTCATCACCTGTGTGTTTTTATTTTTTGCACTATAAAAAAAAAAAAAGACAGTTTTGAGAAATAACCAATATTTTTAACTTTTTGCTATTAAACATTTCCAGTAAAAAAAATGAAAAAAAATCAGTGTCATAAATTTAGGCCAAAATGTATTTTGCTACATGTCTTTGCTAAAAAAAAATCCCAATAAAAGTAAATTCATTCGTTTACATGAACGTTATAGCATTTAGGAATGGCGGTATATATACTGGAATTTTTTTTCACTAGTAATGGCAGCGATCAGCGACTTATAGCGGGACTGCGGCAGTCATTCTGACATTGGGGGGGAAGAACTGACTTGGTGTGCTAACAAAAAGCATTAACACTGTACTAATGGCACTGGGCAGGAAGGGGTTAACATCTCGTGCAATCAATGGGTTAACTGTGTGCTGTATGCTGTTTTACATCGACACAATTCTAACATTTTTGGCTCTATACACAACCACAATGGATTTGAAATGAAATGAACAAGATGTGCTTTAACTGCAGACTGTCGGCTTTAATTTGAGGGTATTTACATCCAAATCAGGTGAACGGTGTAGGAATTACAACAGTTTGCATATGTGCCTCCCACTTGTTAAGGGACCAAAAGTAATGGGACAATTGGCTTCTCAGCTGTTCCATGGCCAGGTATGTGTTATTCCCTCATTATCCCAATTACAATGAGCAGATAAAAGGTCCAGAGTTCATTTCAAGTGTGCTATTTGCATTTGGTATCTGTTGCTGTCAACTCTCAAGATGAGATCCAAAGAGCTGTCACTATCAGTGAAGCAATCCATCATTAGGCTGAAAAAACAACACAAACCCATCAGAGAGATAGCAAAAACATTAGGCGTGGCCAAAACAACTGTTTGGAACATTCTTAAAAAGAAGGAACGCACCAGTGAGCTCAGCAACACCAAAAGACCCGGAAGACCACGGAAAACAACTGTGGTGGATGACCGAAGAATTCTTTCCCTGGTGAAGAAAACACCCTTCACAACAGTTGGCCAGATCAAGAACACTCTCCAGAGGTAGGTGTATGTGTGTCAAAGTCAACAATCAAGAGAAGACTTCACCAGAGTGAATACAGAGGATTCACCAGAAGATATAAACCATTGGTGAGCCTCAAAAACAGGAAGGCCAGATTAGAGTTTGCCAAACGACTTCTAAAAAAGCCTTCACAGTTCTGGAACAACATCCTATGGACAGATGAGACCAAGATCAACTTGTACCAGAGTGATGGGAAGAGAAGAGTATGGAGAAGGAAAGGAACTGTTCTTGATCCTAAGCATACCACCTCATCAGTGATGCATGCTGGTGGTAGTGTCATGGTGTGGGCATGTATGGCTGCCAATGGAACTGGTTCTCTTGTATTTATTGATGATGTGACTGCTGACAAAAGCAGCAGGATGAATTCTGAAGTGTTTCAGGCAATATTATCTGCTCATATTCAGCCAAATGCTTCAGAACTCATTGGACGCCGCTTCACAGTGCAGATGGACAATGACCCAAAGCATACTGCAAAAGCAACCAAAGAGTTTTTTAAGGGAAAGAAGTGGAATGTTCATGTAAACCAATTAATTTACTTGTATTGGGATTTTTTTAGCAGAATACATTTTGGCCTAAATATATGACAAAATTAGATTTTTAAAATTTTTTTACTGGACATGTTTAATAGCAAAGTCAAAAATATAGTTATTTTTCCTCAAAATTCGGTCGGTCTTTTTTTTTTTTTATTGCGCAAAACACAAAAAAACATAGACATAAATGTAGACACAACTACTGAATGGCACTGCTACAATAAAATATACATAACAAAATAATTAAAGTATGGTTTTTAAAAAAAACACCTAGGTGGATGTAGCATTGATCCAGTGCTGCATCTGTCCCCACCAGCTCTGCACTGAGAACTGAGTGATCAAACACCACTGATCGCTCTGTTCTCCCCTCCGCTCTGTGCAGAGAGAGGTGACTGTCGGTCATTGTCAACACAGAAGTGCAGAACGAACTGCACTCCTGTGATCCAAAGGAGAAGTAAACAAAAAAACCAAAGGTGATCAAATACCACCTAAAGAAAGCTCTATTCGTGGGAAGAAAAAAAAAAGGAAGTAAATTTCATTTGGGTGCAGTGTTGCATGACCGCGCAATTGTCAGTTAAATTAACGAAGCGCCGTATCGCAAAAAATGGCCTGGTCAGGAAGGGGGTAAATTCTCTGGAGGGCAAGTGGTTAAACGTCTTCATTTTATATAGTTTGAATAACATGATATATATATATATATATATATATATATATATATATATATATATATACAGTCAGGTCCATAAATATTGGGACATCGACACAATTCTAACATTTTTGGCTCTATACACCACCACAATGGATTTGAAATGAAACAAACAAGATGTGCTTTAACTGCAGACTGTCAGCTTTAATTTGAGGGTATTTATATCCAAATCAGTTGAACGGTGTAGGAATTACAACAGTTTGCATATGTGCCTCCCACTTTTTAAGGGACCAAAAGTAATGGGACAATTGGCTTCTCAGCTGTTCCATGGCCAGGTGTGTGTTATTCCCTCATTATCCCAATTACAATGAGCAGATAAAAGGTCCAGAGTTCTTTTCAAGTGTGCTATTTGCGTTTGGAATCTGTTGCTGTCAACTGTCGAGATAAAATCCAAAGAGCTGTCACCATCAGTGAAGCAAGCCATCATTAGGCTGAAAAAACAAAACAAACCCATCAGAGAGATAGCAAAAACATTAGGTATGGCCAAAACAACTGTTTGGAACATTCTTAAAAAGAAGGAACGCACCGGTGAGCTCAGCAGCACCAAAAGACCTGGAAGACCACGGAAAACAACTGTGGGGGATGACTGAAGAATTCTTTCCCTGGTGAAGAAAACACCCTTCACAACAGTTGGCCAGATCAAGAACACGCTCCAGGAGGTAGGTGTATGTGTGTCAAAGTCAACAATCAAGAGAAGACTTCACCAGAGTGAATACAGAGGGTTCACCACAAGATGGAAACCATTGGTGAGCCTCAAAAAACAGGAAGGCCAGATTAGAGTTTGCCAAACGACATCTAAAAAAGCCTTCACAGTTCTGGAGCAACATTCTATGGACAGATGAGACCAAGATCAACTTGTACCAGAGTGATGGAAAGACAAGAGTATGGAGAAGGAAAGGAACTGCTCATGATCCTAAGCATACCACCTCATCAGTGAAGCATGGTGGTGGTAGTGTCAAGGCGTAGGCATGTATGGCTGCCCATGGAACTGCTTCTCTTGTATTTATTTATTGATGATGTGACTGCTGACAAAAGCAGCCGGATGAATTGTGAAGTGTTTCGGGCAATATTATCTGCTCATATTCAGCCAAATGCTTCAGAACTCATTGGACACCGTTTCACAGTGCAGATGGACAATGACCCAAAGCAGACTGCAAAAGCAACCAAAGAGTTTTTTAAGGGAAAGAAGTGGAATGTTATGCAATGGCCAAGTCAATCACCTGACCTGAATCCGATTGAGCATGCATTTCACTTGCTGAAGACAAAACTGAAGGGAAAATGCCCCAAGAACAAGCAGGAACTGAAGACAGTTGCAGTAGAGGCCTATCAGTGCATCACCAGGGATGAAACCCAGCATCTGCTGATGTCTATGCGTTCCACACTTCAGGCTGTTAATTGACTGCAAAGGATTTGCAACCAAGTATTAAAAAGTGAAAGTTTGATTTATGATTATTATTCTGTCCCATTACTTTTGGTCCCTTAATAAGTGGGAGGCACATATGCAAACTGTTGTCATTCCTACACCGTTCACCTGATTTGGATGTAAATACCCTCAAATTAAAGCTGACAGTCTGCAGTTAAAGCACATCTTGTTCGTTTCATTTCAAATCCATTGTGGTGGTGTATAGAGCCAAAAATGTTAGAATTGTGTCGATGTCCCAATATTTATGGACCTGACTGTATATATATATATATATATATATATATATAATCAATCATTGTAAAATAACATATTCCACACTTCTTTTCTTTTTTTTCCGGAAGTGAAAGAAGGCTTTGGAAAAAAACAGGCTTTTTTCCAGGCTGTCCCATCTTTAGTTAAACCTCAATGATTTTTGTGTTTTTGATTATTTTGTATGTAAGAGGATGAGTCACAAGATAGATCTAAATTCTTTGAAGAAAACTTTTTTAGGGCCGGTTCACAACAGGAATCACACAGGAATGCATTTTTCTGTGCAGTTCACATGCAATAAGATTTGAGCCTATTAGTTTTGAATTGGGCTGAACCACACTGGACTACACAAAAGTAGTGCATGCATTACTTTACAAAAACACGCTACAACTGGATTGCATGGTACTTCCGTATTATGCGATCCGCTGCAGGCAAATGCTGTGCATTTGTGACCTGTGGGGTGTTGTTAACTTAGCATAGAGACCTGCTGCAGATTGCAACTGCAGTGCGTTTTGAATGCGATGTGGGAAACGCACACAGAACATGGATTTCCCACACCATGTTCTAGTGTAAACGGGCACTTAAAGCAGGTTTATGGGAGACTCCAGCATAATGAAAAGTATCTTTGGTAACAAAAATATTTTCTTTAGTCTGTGATGGCCAGCTTTTGAAAAAAGGAAGCTTGAATAAAGTTACATAGTTAATCTGGTTGAAAAAAGACAAAAGTCCATCTACTTCAACCCACAGAAGAAAGAAAACAAGTTATTACATCATTGTTACAATTCAAAGGTTATGTGTGTGTGTTTAACAAATAGTGTTTGGTCTGTTGTGTTTTTAATCTCTCAAAATAATGTGAAACCCAGAACAAGGAGGGGGGATTTTTTGGGGGATCTGGTCAAGACTTGGAAAAATAGTAGACTTAGAATGATTGCTGGATACTCCAAAAGACCTTGCTCAGTTATTTATTTCTATTGCTAATTGTGGGTTGGCCAACAATAACATCAGGTTTTCTGCATATGAGCCCACTATCCTTTCCTGTTTTCTCTCTCTCTTGAACCTACAGTACTCATGGTACAATGTACCTACAGTACCAATGGTATAATGCAATGTTGTCTGTATTTTAAGTGTTGTTTGCTTAGGTCGCATCTGAACTATAGTAACTTTTCTTAACGTAAGATTTTCTCTTTTTTCAGCCGCCCCCCTCAAAAACTACTACCTGAACATGCACAAACTCTAGAGAAGTATGACTGGGAAGCTTTTGACAGTCACAACCATGGTGAGAACCCCCACCCCTTACCCCTTTCCCCTTCAACTTGTGCACGCTTGTGAACAGATGCCCACACACCTAGTTTAGAATATTGTCTCTCACTGCCATTTCTGTTACCATTACATTTCCAAATGTCATCTGGAGCTGGAATCCTCCAGTAATATCAGCAGCCCTCCCTCAACCATAAGGGATGATTGACAGCCCAGTATACGTACTAAGACTGTAGCTCTGAGTAGCATAGAGAGGCTACTTTCCAGAACATTTATTGGACAGAACTGAAACAAGCAAGTATATAAAGACAAGTAAATAACTCGGTATAGGGTAGCAGCTACATCCTTGCAATCTGCTGAAATACTTTACCAGATCGTGTAAACTTCAATAAATCTTAATTTTATTATTAGCTGATTCACACTACCTGTGCTTTGGTAGCACAACAATCACACACTGGTGAATTTTAAATGTGTGTTGCACTGCGCTGCAAAAAATGCAACTAGGCTTACATTTTTATGTGTTACAGCCCATTCATTATAAATAGTGTGCCTAACACAATGTGCCTCAACTACTGTTACACATTGTGTTCAGGTGTGATTGAGCTATACAAATTCAGGCACTGATAACATAACCACTTTAATGCAGCCATAAAGCTTTATCCCACCCCCGCTTTACTCTCTTTGTTGGTGCAGAAGTATACTTATCACATTGATGGACTACTAAAGGACCCTGGACAGAGATGGGGCAGGAGCTGAATTTCCTACTACAAGTTTAAATGTACCGTATTTTCCGGCGTATAAGACGACTGGGCGTATAAGACGACCCCCTACTTTTCCTGTTAAAATATAGGGTTTGAGCTATACTCGCCGTATAAGACTACCCCTCTTCCAACGCGCCCCATCATTGGTGTCAGTGGGGAGGAGGAATAGTGCCCCATCATTGGTGTCAGTGGGGAGGAGGAATAGTGCCCCATCATTGGTGTCAGTGGGGAGGAGGAATAGTGCCCCATCGTTGGTGTCAGTGGGGGAGGAATAATGCCCCATCGTTGGTGTCAGTGGGGGAGGAATAGTGCCCCATCATTGGTGTCAGTGGGGGAGGAATAGTGCCCCATCATTGGTATCAGTGGGGAGAAAAGTGCCCCATCATTGGTGTCAGTGGGGGAGGAATAGTGCCCCATCGTTGGTGTCAGTGGGGGAGGAATAGTGCCCCATCATTGGTATCAGTGGGGAGAAAAGTTCCCCATCATTGGTGTCAGTGGGGGAGGAATAGTGCCCCATCGTTGGTGTCAGTGGGGAGGAGGAATAGTGCCCCATCATTGGTGTCAGTGGGGGAGGAATAGTGCCCCATCATTGGTATCAGTGGGGAGAAAAGTGCCCCATCATTGGTGTCAGTGGGGGAGGAATAGTGCCCCATCATTGGTATCAGTGGGGAGAAAAGTGCCCCATCGTTGGTGTCAGTGGGGGAGGAATAGTGCCCCATCGTTGGTGTCAGTGGGGGAGGAATAGTGCCCCATCGTTGGTGTCAGTGGGGAGGAGGAATAGTGCCCCATCGTTGGTGTCAGTGGGGGAGGAACAGTACCTCATCGTTGGTGTCAGTGTGGAGGAGGAATAGTGCCCCATCGTTAGTGTCAGTGGGGGAGAGGAGCGGCTGCTCCTTCTTTCAGTTCGGCCGCTTGATTTTCGCGGGGCCGTTCGGCTCTGCCTCCTCGCCGGTGATTGGTCACCTGTGTGCCTTTCCAGTGCTGGCGCCCAATCATCGGTGAGGAGGCGGAGCCGAGCGGGCGGCGGGACCATCGAGCGGCCGAACTGAAAGAAGGAGCAGCCGCGCTTCCTGGACTGGATCGTCGTGGGACCGGGACCGGAGCCAGGTAAGGTACAGCAGCCCCTCTGCCCACCCCTGTACTTGGTGTCCGTTGGAGGAGGAGGGGGGGCGGCGCCGCCCCTCGAAAAAGTGCCGCCCTGACACCGGCTCGCCGTATACCGGCGTATAAGACGACCCCCGACTTTTCAAAAGATTTTCACGGGTTGAAAAGTCGTCTTATACGCCGGCAAATACGGTAGTTAAAAGGGTGCCTTTTGGTTTTGGGGCTTGTGTAGCATTGTAAGAGATTGCTGCAGGAGTGAGTAGACTTCCTTTCAGCTCCCAGTTTAGGCAGTTTAGCAACATGATAGCGATCTTCATGTAAAATAAACCTATAAGTGTATTTCATATACTTTTTTTATGTAATAAAAGCTTTATCCTAAGATAGGGACTGGGGCTTTTCATAAACTTTTGAGGGTTATAACTCAGTGCACTGTAAATGTTTAGCTTTCTTGTTTTAGTTAGTCTCATTCTGTGATTAGTATAGAGATGAGAGTACCACCCTGGGAAGAGTATTCTGGCTCAGATTAGTAATATGTTGGCTTTTCTTGTTTAGGAGGTTTCCTCCTTGTAATTATTTGACCCAAACCACTGACATTATAAAGGTGTACTAGTATTAATAAGGTGTGCTAGAATTAAAAAATAACTAGTTATGTTGTGTTGAGATTTGTAAGACAATTATTGTTAATACCCACTTAAATGTAATCTGAACACTAATACATAGTAAAGTTCTATTGCAGCTTTTAGGAAGATGTTGACAAATGAAAAATACAACTGTTTATAAAAAAATATATTGTAAATAGGCATAAATGAAGACACAACTACTAAATGGCACTGCTACAATAAAATATACATAAAAAAATAATTAAAAGGGAAGTATGGGGTTTAAAAAAACAACTAGGTGGATATAGCATTGATCCAGTGGTGCATCTGTCCTCACCAGCTCTGCACTGAGAACTGAGTGATCAAACACCACTGATTGCTCAGTTCTCTCCTCCGCTCTGTGCAGAGAGTTATAACTGTCAGTCACCAGCTCTCTGCTCCTCCCCGTCTTTGCTCACTGGGGCACCTGGCTGTGCAGGGGGCAGGAGCGGCTGGCTCAGGCTTTCAGCATCTCACTGAGAGGCTGAGCCAGCTGCTGATGCAGGCATCTGGGTTTATCCTGAATATAAAGTCACAATCTTTCCTGAGCCTGGACCGGGGTAAAAATGGAACACAGAAGTGCAGAACGAACTGTGCTCCTGTGATCCAAAGGAGAAGTAGGGCAAAAAAAAAAAACAGCTTTAGCTTTACCTCTCCCTTAGGAAGGCCATACCTGTGTGAGAGAGACCCAAACAATATACAGATATGTAACTGGTAAAATAAGTATTAAACACGTCACAATTTTTCTCAGTAAATCTATTTCTAAAGTTGCTTTGGCATGAAATTTTCACCACATGTTGGTAACAACCCATGCAATCCATTTATACAAAGAAACCAAAACAAATAAGTTCATAAATTAAGTTATGTGTACTAAAATGGAATGACACAGTCAGGAAAAAGTATTGAACACTTCAAGAAAGGGAGGTTCAAAAAGGCATGGAAATCCAGGACACCAGCTGAAAACTATCAGCAATTAGAAAGCAATCCTGCCCCTTGTCAGTGAAAATTAATATCAACTGGCTCAGTCTCAACTGATGGCCTATAACAAGGTGTCTCATTACCAAGGTGTCACATAGAAAACATCTCATGATGCATAAAAGCAAAGCGCTCTCTCAAGACCTTCACAGACTTATTCTTGCTACACATGCTGATGGCTTTAGTTACAGAAGGATTTCTAAACTTCTGAATGTTCCAGTGAGCACTGTTGGGGCCATAATCTGGAAGTGGAAGGAACATTTCACCATAAACTGGCCATGACCAGGTGCTCCTCCGAAGATTTCTGACAGAGGAGTGAAAAGAATTATCAGAAGAGTTGTTTAGCAGGTGTATTTGTTTCAAAGTAAACAATAAATAATGCACTCAACCGCCATGGCCTGTATGCACGTTCACTATGCAAGACTCCATTGCTAAAGAAAAAGCATGTTGAAGCTTGTTAAAGTTTGCTGCACAACATTTAGACAAGCCTGTGAAATACTGGGAGACTATAGTCTGGTCAGATGAGACTGAAATTGAACTCTTTGGATGCCATAATACACACCATGTTTGGAGGTCAAATGTCACTGCACATCACCCCAAAAACACCATACCAACATTGACGCTTGGAGGTGGGAACATTATGATGTGGAGCTGTTTTTCAGAAGACGGTACTGTCAAAATTCATATGGGTGAAGTAAGGATGAATGGAAAAATGTACCAAGACATTCTTGATAAAACTCTGCTGCCATCTACCAGGATGATGAAGATTAAAACGGGTGGACATTTCAGCAAGACAATGATCCCAAACAAAAAGCCAAGGAAACAAGTGGTTTCAGAGAAAGAAAATAAAGCTGCTAGAATGACCCAGCCAATCACTTGACTTGAATCCAAAAGAAAATCTATGTAAAGAACTAAAGATCACAATTCATAAAAGAGGCCCACTGAACCTTCAAGATTTGAAGACTGTTTGTGTGGAAGAATGGGCCAAAATCACACCTGAGCAATGCATGCAACTAGTTTCTCCATACAGGAGACGTCTTGAAGCTGTCATTACCAACAAGGAATTTTGTACGAAGTATTAAATAAATTTCAGTTAGCGTGTTCAATACTTTTCCCTGCGTCATTCCTTTTTATTACACATAAATTAATTTGAGCTGACAATTGCGCGGTCATGCAAGGTTGTACATAAATGAGATGTATGTCCTTTTTTCCCACAAACAGAGCTTTTGGTGGTATTTGATCACCTGTGCATTTTTTTTATTTTTTGCTCTATAAACAAAAAAAGACCAACAATTTTGATAAAAAAAAATTTTTTTTTAATTTTTGCTCTAAAACATATCCAGTAAAAAATGTTTAAATAAAATTTCTTTATAAATTTAGTCAAAATTTATTCTGCTACATGTCTTTGTTAAAAAAAATTCCAATATGTGTAAATTATTGGTTTACTTGAAAGTTATAGCGTCTGCAAATGGCGGTATATATACTGGAAATTTTTTTTTTTACTAGTAATGGAAGTGATCAGCGACTTATTGCGGGACTGCGGCGGGCATTCCTACACTGGGGGGGGGGGGGGGACTGACTAACTGCTACTGACATCTCCAGTGACACTAATACAGTGATCAGTGCTAATAAAAAGCACTGTCACTGTACTAGTGACACTGGGCAGGAAGGGGTTAACATCTGGGGTGATCAACGGGTTAACAGTGTGCTGTATTGTGTTTTACATAGTGTGCTGTGTGTGTTTTACTATGTAAACACGCTGCTTTGTATTGCTCTGCTGTGCAGAGCAATACAAAGTAGTCTGTGTGGACAGGGGAGAGATCTGTGTTGTTTACATACAGGCCTCTCCCCTGCAAGCTCCGCCGATGATCACCAAGTCCCGGCCGAGAATATCATATATGTGTGATTTTGCGCATCCTTCCCGCCCTGTAGCAGTACTTATGCTATAGGGCGGTCGGGAAGCGGTTAAAGATCTTTACAAAATTCCACGGTCAGGCTTTTCTCCTTCAAGTTCTTCTGCTCTAATCATTTGCATCCTCATGTTTAGTTTGTTTCTCTCTCTCTTCTGTCTCACACACTGCATTGATAACATTTCAGATTATAATAAAAACACGAGGTTGACACAAGAGAGTGCAAAGTCTGGTGCAGTTCTGATTGGCTACCATGCACAGCTGCACCAGATTTTGCACCCTCGGGTTCTAGTAAATCAACCCCAATGTATGCACTAGCCAGTGTTTGAATAATCGCGTTAGAATAGTTGTTTTCCAGTATTTGCCTTTTAATGTGTCATTTATTAATTTATATGCTTCAATTTAAGCCCTACTCACTGATTTACTTTTTTTCCAGTGAACTATTTGACAGAAGAAGTGTTTCTGCTATTACAATCTGTTGTGGCAAGTATTATTTCCCTGTGTCTCAAACATAGCATATTCCTAATAACGTAAGGGCTGTTATTGCAGGAAATTTTTTAATCTTCTCCAAAGCACGTCAACCCTGGGCTTTGCATTTAGGTGTAAAAACAATCGCTGATGAACCATGTAAGAATTGGGTCTCTCTGGACCATTGCTGAAAATTAAAAGAGAAGTGTGGGTTTCATTTAAAAAAAAAAGCTTTAAGACTGAGAACTGAGTGATCAAACACTGCTGATCACTCAGCTCTTGGTCTTCAGTCTACACTACAGTGAGCCAGTGATTGACATTCTCTCTGCTCTGCCCCACCATTCCAGTGCTCACTGGATCGCCGGACTGTGGAGCGGACAGGAGAGGTTGGCCCAGGCTCTTAGTGGCTCGCTGAGAGACTGAGCCAGATGCTAGTCCAGGTGTCTAGATGGATCCCGACCATATGGTAGCTATCTTTTCAGGGCCTGGACCGGCTCTGTGAAAGAACTGCACTCCTGTGATAAATAGTAGAAGTTCAGACAAAAATCGCCATGACTCCTGCAGGCCTGTTGATATATATGTGTGCTCAACAGTGCTGTGGTAGTTAATTGAATACTTGTAGTTGATTAATTCACAGAACTCTGTGAATGAATGATGGGACCATGTGAGCATAGCCCTGCAGGACTGTGCTCTTTTCAAAAAGTGACTGTTGTCACACAGAGGGCTCAAATCACCGAGCCGCTGCAGGATCCTTCAAGAAGTGATAACAGGAAATTCCAATGCTGGTAGTGTTTATTGGAAAGGATGTTGGAACTTGTAGTTTTCCCATTCACAAAATACTGTGAATGAGTGACACGGCCGGGTGGGCGGAGCCCTGCACGGCCACATTTATAAAACAAATTGTGACAGCTAGCAAGGGAGAAGATCCCCCTCTAGCTGTCACAACAGGGGAGCAGGGGCTGGTCCTTTCGTAACATGTTATAACCTGAATATGATGCTTTTGAAATTTTATTTAAGTGTGTAAAAGCTTTTAAAGATCCTCTTCACTTTGCTTTCAGATGGCATGCCAGGAAAATGATATTGAGTCTCTTAAAGTACTTCAAGTTGAACTTTGGTGAGTGCTACAGTGCTCTATAATTGTGTAATTGTGTGCATTAGTCAAATCAAAGATACATTTGTACATTTTCTAGTTACCTAATAGTTTAAGCTGTTTGATAGGAAGTTTAAGTGTTTTCAACTGTTAATGTGTAAGACATGTTATAGCTGCTTTTCAGAAAATGTGTAGGACCTCTAGCTTTCCCTTTACAGGGTTAATCCTTGTGTTTAATCTTTGTAAAGGCCTTCAAGGAATATTCAAACACTGAGCAGCCTATTATTGATGTTATGCAATTCTTCTCTTCATCCACTCTGTGCAACAGATATTATGCAATCTTGTGTTGAGCTTTAATGTGAAACTCAAAGCTTCTATCCACAAAGGCTTACTTAGCTTAATGTTCGTGTTTCAGGCAGATAAAAAGATATGATTTTTGAAAAATGAATTCTTAAAGTATAGCTTGATTTTAAATGTATTTATTTAAAGTTCATCAAGCTTTGAAATGCAGTGATCATTCTTGTAAGATAGGTGAACTTTCGTTACTAGCATTAGAAGTGAATGATTTACTTTGTTAGAATCAAAGTGCACCTGTCACCAACTCATAGGGAAAAATGCGGATAATGCATTTTTTTTCTTAAGCTTACCCCATGTTCAGTATAATGCTACTTCTGTAGTCTAACAGTACTTAACTGGTGTAGGAAACATCTGCCTGTCATTTGTAGTGCTGGGAGCTACTACTGCTTCTCATACACCTTGCATAACAGACTATAAAGTGCAGTTACCACTTCCCTTCATTCAAAAGTGGGCAGGGTCAGCTTGGTCTGACTGAAAATTTTCAGATGCTTTTATAAGCTAGCATTGGAAGTTCCTGTTATCACTTCCTAAAGGATAATTTCACCTCTGAGAACATGTTCTCGCTCCTGCAGTGGCTCGGTGATCCGAGCCCTCTGTGTGACAGCAGTACGGGAGAAGTTCCCCATACCAAATGTCACTTTTGAATGAAAAGCTCCACCCACCATCATTCATTCACAGAGTTCTGTTAATGAATCGGCAAGTACCGACATCCTTTGCGGATGTCGGCTTGTAGTTCTGTATGAACTACCATGGCACTGTTGAGCACTGTGGTAGTTCATTGATTCTTCCTGTCAGTGTGAAACTGACTGCTTGAACAAATGTATGGGCAGACAGCTTACACTAACAGTCTGCAGGAGTCCTGTTGGCACCAGCGATCTGCTGATTGTTGGTGCAATGCTTTGCAGGCTCCTAAAACATAAATAAATACATACATTAAAAAAAATAGTAAATGCACATTTTTTTACCTGAAAAAAAAGGTGCATTTATTTATTTATTTTAAAGGGGAACTTATCCTTTAAGGATAACTCTAAATTGGCCTGTCCTTACTCATGAGATGCTTTGGATTGAGGCAGTGAGGACAGTTTATAGTTAGCCTGAGCCTTGTGTTTCCTCAGTGTTGACCATAGAACAGTGGTTCTTAATCGTTTTGAGTCACAGACCCCTTTTAAGAAACTGATTAAAGCTACGGACTACTCCTGTAGAAATATTTACATAAACACACAAAGTAAAGTATTAAAAAAAACTCACTACTTTTCATGCAAAAATTAATGGCAACCCATTAGAAAAATACAATTAACTTGTGCTGATTAAACAAAAGAATTTTAACTCTGCTCAAATCTTCTACTAGAAAATAAGACTTAGCAAATGCTATTATGGAGTGGTACAAAATGGCAGCTGTGCAGAGAATGATGATACCTAAATGGTATACATGGGCCAACAACGAGTCAAAAGACACTTAGCGGTCAGCACTATAGGCAGTGGCAGGGTGCATTTTCTTTAATTTCTTTCAATAGGTAACCACTTATTGAGACAAGGGATGGGCTGGTATAGTGAATGTGTGCTATTTTTTATCTGACCCTTCACAGACCCCTTGAAACCCATCTGTGGAAGCCAGGTTAAGAACCCCTGCCTTAGAGTTTGTTCCATTATCTGATATCCTTTAATCACCTCCCGTCCCGAGAGAAGGAGAAATGATTGCTTTTCCATCCTTTATGGGTGTAAAAGCAATCACTGTAAAAAAAAAAAAAAAAAAAAAATCTTCATCACCCCCCACAAGTAGTACAGTGTCACCATGACAGTATGTAAAAAAAAAATTAAAAAAATGTTTAAAAATTATAATTTTTGGTTATAAACTAATTTGGGTTATTTTGTTTTTACTAAAAATATTACTGAATAAGTATTGGCCAAGATTTATGATGTAATATTTATTTGCAAAATTTTATAAGAAAAACACTTTTTTTCTAAATTTTTGGACTTTTTATATAGCAAAAAAAATAAAAAATACCACCAAAATAAAGTTTTATCTGTCTCAAAAAATTCATATGGGTACAGTGTTGCATGACCGCGCAATTGTCATTCAAAGTGTGCTAGTACTGAAAGCTGAAAATTGGCCTGGACAGGAAGGGGGTAAAAGTGTCCAGACTGGAAGTGGTTAAACAATTCTTTTCATAAAGTTACAACTCCTGAAAACTACTGGAACAATCCTGATAATAGGATTATTATATTAGCATTCCATTTTGAGTATGCTTCTTCAGTCCATTAGTGTTGCTTCTTTATGACTAATAGTAGGAAGCAATAGGTCATGGATTTCTGTCATTTTAATAGTTATATGCCCTATTCCATCAATGCTAACACACTTTTTGTCTACCTTGTAGGCCACTTTTAACAGCTGAACAGAACCACTTACTACATCTTGTTCTAAAAGAAATGATTTCTCCTTCTGGTCAAGGCATTTGAACCTTTTATATGGTTGCTTGGTAAATTTGCTTTATTTAAAGTTACTTTATGACATGAACACATTGCTTTTGGAAAAAAAAACCTTCAACAAAGACCATCTGCATCCTCTCTAACTAGCCAATAGTGTGTGTATAAATAATTATAGATATTGATGTGAGTACTCAACAGTTATTGGTAGGCATTCCTTTTGTTTAAAATCCAGCATTTAGTTTGGCGACTGTTCCTTAATATTATGTCAGTCCTGTACTAAACCACTCAATACATGCCTTAAATTAGTGCTGATTACATTGACTCACTAAGCCTGCAGAATTGTTACTGTGACTGCAGCTGCTTCTGTACACTGTATCCTCTGCAAGCTGTGGCACATGCCCCAAGTCTGTCTGAAAATGTGCCCTTCACTTTTGTATCATGTACTTGTAAGTAATTTAACGAGTTGTGATAGGGTTTGCATAAGAATCATACTTTGTCTGATGATCACTCTTAGCCCTGACAGTCATGGCTGCCTCAGGGTCTGACCATTGCTACCCTAACAGCATGCCAATATCATGCTGTTTCCAATCTACTGAGTGTGCATAACAGTAAAAAAGAACAGAATATCTCTAGTTTCTTCACTCTTCTAACTACAGGGCTCTGCTACTCAATATTGATAGGCATACTAAGGACATTTTACACAGCGAGTCTTATCACCATGAGGTAAGGCAGTTGATAGGATAGCTTTGATGTCACCTTTTAGCTTATGGCCAAGATTCAGCCTCAAACAAATAAAATCTAAATATAGGAGCAAATATAAATATTATATATGTAAGCCTAGACCAGGGGTAGGCAACCTGCGGCTCTCTATCTGTTGTGGAACTACATCTCCCATGAGGCATTGCAACATTACAAAACTGACAGTTACAGCTATGACTTGCAGAGGCATGATTGAACTTGTAGTCCTGCAACAGCTGGAGAGCCGCAGGTTGCCTACCCCTGGCCTAGACAGTTATACATTTAAGAATGAATATTTGGATTGTTGCATAAGCCTGGTTGTGACTAGATCTCTTGTTTTACAACCCTATGGGATCATGCATTATTTATTATGATGTAGTTGTGTTTCACCTTTTTTAAATGCTAAAAAACATACCATTATATTTCTGCACTAGTTGTAGTTTGTACAGTTGTGATTATGTTAGTGTGTTATGTTTATAATTTATTATTGCAGGCACTAAATGTATCAAAGCAAACACTTTCAATAATTGGCCTGTCTTTATTAACTGGCATTGCTTTTAATAAACTACATTGTAATGATTACTTTACACTTCCTTGATTTTTATTGTAAAGGTATACATTATGCAATAAAATTACTGAATGGAAACAATTTTGTTTTTTTTTATAATAATATGGCATGTATTTATAATGTTTGTGCTCAGTCTAAACATGCATTTGTTTGTGCAGAATTTTTCAGTTTGTGGGTTACCTGTGGCAAACAAGATGAGCTCAGTCGCAGCTAAACCATACTTAAATATCTGTTATGTATAAGATTTTCTCAAGGTTTTTTTTTTTTTTTTTAATGGTATTGTTTTTTAAAGCTGGCCATACATGGTCCAGTTTTTTTCCTTCAGCCAATGGGCTGAACAGAAAAGTTAAACTGATTTCCCTATCCACATATTTTAGGTGGCTGGGGGAATCCTCCCCACTGCACTATTGTACTCTTACAGTGGGAAGACACTCCCACTGTCAGAATACACAGATCAGCACTGCAGCCATTGGCTAGGGAACTTTTGATTTGCTCTGTCCATGTGCACCTTTCCCTTTTTTTCTAGTTTTAAGTTGATCTGAGTGCCAGAGGACTTGCAAGCCTCTGCTATTACTCAAAAGCAGAAGGAACTCATGACTGATGTGGTATGCTTGATGCTGAAGTTGAAAGATCAGCCTCTTGCTACTGCTCTTTTTGGCTTCTACAAGCCATGCCATGTGCTAAGGTGTTCCCTCTCCGCCCTTTTTTTGTTGATTTCATTTATAAGCATTAGAAACACCCTGAACAGCTGTTCCTCCCCTCTGAAACATTTCCTTGCACTTTACCCCTTGGTAGAGGAATTTGTTTGAAAATGGTTTATGCCGTGAGTAGTGCAGATTCCCAGTTTCTATCCCAAAGTGGTTAGCCTTCCAGTGGAAGGTGCTCCTTCATTCAAGGACCCTGCAGTCAAACGCAATGAGGCCTTGTGCCCGTCTGTGTTTCTACCATACCCATTTCTGCCATGCATTCAGTGTTATTTCTTTCACTCTTAGCCCAGACTCTCCAGTTGATTGGTCCAAATTCTGCATGCGAGATCTGGCCAATGCAGCATTCTGACTGGCTGATGGTGGACTGCACAGGAAACATAGCCCTCACATTAAACGCAACAGGAATGTGAGAGAAAATCTAAAACTGCAATCCAGACATAAATAGGAGATATAAAAAAAAACGCCTAGTAGAGGAACCTAGAATTACTTTCTATTGCTGTATTGTGTCTCTGTTTCCTTCACTTCCTCTCTGGTGAAACTGTTTCTCCATCACAGTAGGTGATAGGGATCCCCAGGTAGCAGTAAAAACCTGAAAGGGGTCCTAATCGTTCCCCACTTTATCCCAAAAAATGTAATGGCTGGACATATTGTTTTAAGGGCAGCAAACAAACCAAAATTCAATCTGCAAGATTCTTCCCCTGGATTCAGAGAGCATGGGTCAATTGTAGATATTGATAATAGCATTGACTTGGTAGGGGGAACTCTGCCTGTAGTTGAGCAAAAGTTTTTAACTCTAAGCCTTCAAACAACTGTGAAAGGTATTTGACCCCAGCCATAATCCATAGGGAATAGTTAGAGAGTTTCTCAACCTCACTATAAAATCGGTTACACCAGATGGGTGTATAGGAAAAAAAAAAGCCAGTAATGCTCAACCTATTTATAACTGCACTCCAAAGCTTTATTAACAAGTGGATCATAGGGCAATGTGGAGGGGCCATGGGAAGATCCATTTCCAACTGAGATAAAGCAAGAGCAATCTGAAAGAAATGAACTAGTAGACCCTGGGAGGGATCAGGTGTGAATGGCACTTCCCATCCTGTTAGGTGTTGCAGTTGAGCAACTAGAAAATATGTCAGGGAGTGAGGGACAGCCATGCCACCCAGATCCTTAGGGAGTTGTAATGTTGCCAATGTAATTCAAACTATGCTATTCCTCCAAATCAGTGCATGATATTGATAGTCTATACCAGGGGTCTCCAAGCTTTTAAAATATAGGACCAGTTTACTGTCCTTCAGACTTTGAGGGGGCCGAACTGTGACCATGGAAGAGGGTAGATTGCCAAACTAAACAGCAGCATTCAATGTATTGAGGAGGGATGGTAAAAGAGAATCACTATGTCTCTATAGGTAAACCATCAGTACGCAGAGATTTGCTACTGGCCATTTTGGTGGCTGCTAATAATTCCTCTGATGTAATCGGTGCATTCAGCATTGTGAGAGCTCTGGGCCGTACGGTTGGAAGGGAGGTACTGGTGATCTTTACAAGCATACTGTATACACAGGGCTATCAGTGCATGCCAGGTATATGCTATATACACTATATTGCCTAAAGTATTGGGACACCCCTCTAAATCATTTGATTCAAGTGTTCCAATCACCTGCATGGCCACAGGTGTATAAAATCAAGCACCTAGTGCAGACTGCTTCTACAAACATTTGTGAAAGAATGGGTCACCCTCAGTGAATTCAAGCGTGTTACTGTGATAGGCTGTCACCTGTGCAATAAGTCCACCCATGAAATTTCCTTGCTACTAAATATTCCAAGGTGGTATTATAGGCCTTGTAAAATGACAGAGGGGGTCAGCGCATGCTATATAGTGTGTGTGTGTGTGTGTATGTATGTGTGTGTGTATATATATATATATATATATATATATATATATATATATTATATATTATATATATATATATATATATATATATATATATATATATACACACACACAGCGCTCAGCACAAATGAGTACACCCCTTTTGAAAAATAAGATTTTAATCAATATCTCAATGAACACAAGAACAATTTCCAACATTTTGACAAGACTGAGTTTTATAGAACATTTGTTTAGCTCATTAAATGAATAGTAAGGTTAATAATATAACTTAGATTACAAAATCCTCAGTTTTACTCAAATTAGTTGATGCAAACCTAACACTCCACAACAAAAAGAACTACATCTAGTATTTTGTATGACATCCATGATTTGTAAGGACAGCACCAAGTCTTCTAGGCATGGAATAAACAAGTTGGCAACATATTGCAACATCTATATTTTTCCATTATTCAAGAACGACCTCTTTTAGAGCCTGGATGCTGGATGGAAAGTAATGCTTGACTTGTCTCTTAGGAATTCCCCATATGTGTTCGATTGGGTTCAGATCAGGAGACATACTCAATCAGTTTCACCCTGTTGTTCTTCAGAAATGCAACGGTGGCCTTAGATCATTGTCATGTTGGAAAAGTACATGACGACCAAGGGCACAGAGTGATGGTAGCATTTTCTCTTTGAATATAGAGCAGTACACCTGTGAATTCATGATGCCATCAATGAAATGCAGCTCCCCAACACCAGCACTCATGCAGCCCCACAGAAGGATACTGCCACCACCATGTTTTACTGTAGGCACCATGCAAGTTTCTTTGTACTCCTCACCTTTGTGACACCATGCAGTTTTGAAGCCATCAGTTCCAAAAACATTTATCTTTGTCTCATCACTACGAAGTAGAGTCCCAGAGTCTTCTTCTTTTCAGCATGGGCCCTGGCAAATTCTAGGTGGGCTTTTTTGTGCATGGGCTTTAGGAGAGGCTTCCTTTCTGGACAACAACCATGCTTGCCATTCCTCTGCAGTGTACGCCGTACTGTGCACAGGAAACCATAACCCCAGTTTGGCTTTCTACTTCTTTAGCTAACTGCAGTGAACTTGCATTGGTGATTTTCATCAACCCTTCTCATCAGAAGA